GGAGGAGAATCAATATGCAGGAATGAGCTGAAGGTCTTTATGGATCCAATCATTTATATTGTTTCCCCTGGAGCAAATCACCTCCAAACAATGAGTAGAAACCTACACTTGAGATACGGCAGCCTATTGCAATAGTCATAAGGATGTTAAAAGTGAAAGAAGGATGGATGTTTCCTAGTCAAAGAGATGCTTCTTTTGGTGCAGCCGCTTAATAATAATAAATAAATAAATAAATAAATAAATAAATAAGAAGACGTTGCCATAAGAAGTGGCATACAGAATTGCTTTGTTCTGCTCTAAGGATCTTGTCCATCTCCAGCTTCTGTGAGGGTGGTTTGTGTGCTTGTTTTCTGAGGCACCAGAATAGTCTCATATTGGATAGATCAGTTTGTGAATTGCAGGCTGCATGAAGTCCGTGACAGCCTAGTTCTGCCTCTGTGTTCCTGCATTTAGCAGTGGGGGCAGGGGTGGCAGAAGCCAAAATGGTGGTTTTTTAGATTCTTGGGCTCTGTAGCTGCTGTGCAATGCTAAGAGAGTACAATTTGGCTGGAGAATACGATAAATGCAGCCCTTTTAATATTCTTTTTATTAATGACAAGCAGAGATTAAAGCTTGGGATCAGAAAAGTAGTGTTGCCACTGACACCTGCAGACTAAAGAGTTGGTGGGCTGATGCTTCATGGTATAGCTGGCTACAATGTTAACACATAGCAAAGCAACTGCAATGTGACAGTCAGGTGTGTCATGTGGTGGGGGAAATGAAGTGTAACCCAGAAAACTCTGGAATGATTTCATCTTCATCTCACAGTCCAGAAAGAATATCTTGCCATATGTGCATTGAATAAACATGACACAAAATTAGCTTGAAATGACACCACACTGGGCCAGTCACGACAACAATAACTTCCCTTTGCAGCATGTTTAATTAAATGCTGGAAAAACTAGAAATATGTTGCAAGCTGGGACTGCATTCCGGGCTGCTGTTTTCTTTTAAGAAGTGGTAAGAAGAACCATTAGTCTGAGTATGACACATCTTCCCAATACTTTGTCCAACAGTGGCCAGCCAAGTGCCTAGATAAATTTTCAAAGAGGGCGTCTTGACTAGATAATCCTTCTCTGTTTGTTGGCTGCTTTACTTGATATTGACTGGGTTTAGTAAACATGAAAACCCACACTCAAGGGTTGTTGAACTACAGGTTGTTGTTGAAATCTAGGCCATCATGTGGCTTGAACCCAGCCAAGATAACAAGCCATGGTTCACAACCCAACAACAATCCATGAGTTCTCTTCATGAGTTGCTTGTGGTTACCAAGACATGGCTTATTAGCACAGGTGGGTTAAGTTGACATGATAATCCCAACCCTAACTCTTTAGTTCAGACCATATCTATGGTTCAGCAGCTACCACACTCAACTCATGAGCAACTGCCAAGTGCAGGTCATTGTGTTTCTGCACACAGTCAGTGAAAGAGTCATAGAATCATAGAATAGTAGAGTTGGAAGGGGCCATGAAGGCTATTTAGTCCAAAGGTATCCTGCCTCTTCCTTTCTAGTTGTCATGACAAATCGTTGTAGAAATACCTTTTCGTCCATGAACATAAAGCTTCAAAAGAAAAGAAAGAAAAAACTTGTCAGCCCTTTGACTGCATCACTGCCCTTGAACCCAGGGAAACTAAGAGCGAATTCAGATCTCTGAAACAGGTGCAAAATACTGGATTTGCTTTGTTGTCTATGAGTAAGAAGCCAACATGCTAACGGGAAAACAAACTTATTATCAAGCCCTGACAAGGTCTTTCCTATGCCTGCCAAAGTCAAAGTTTTAGCTAAGTCCTCATGCAATGTTGGTGTGTACATTTTCTTAAATGCCTCTTCCATTTGTTTCCCCATGAGTAAACATGCTTTCCCATTATCTATGACTCTTCTTTTGTCTGTGTTTGTCAAAGAAACTTGATTTTCAGTGTGCCTCATCTCTTTATATTTACCAATACTTCATACCATATTGGGAGAGACTGTGACCAGGTAACCTTTTTGTTTGATCAGTCTGCTGTCCAGTACTAAGTGTTGGCAAGAAATTTCAAGGCTCCCCTTCTCCTTTTTTTGGCTGAAACAGGACTTAGACTGGACAGAAATTCAGAGAGAGAACATTTCAAACAGAAAACAGAAAATGTTTTGGAATATTTCAAACCAAAAACTTGCTTCTGTAAAGTAGGACACATAGATTTTGTATCTGTTTTAGACCCTATTTCTGGATTAAGTAACACCATAATTTCTTTAGGATTAAGTGCCAGCATGAAACATTTTCATTCTCTCTCAGGAATAAAAAGCCATTTCAAGTCTGCACATCTGCACAGGAAGCATGTGGTGCTTGGATCCAACCCTCACATGAGTGAAGGTCTGTTCACGCAATGGGGCTTCCCATTAAGGCTCAGAACTTCCCTGTTTTCGCCCCTCTGCCCATGCCCCAGAACTGATCTGGAGGGTCTCCTAACCCCCCGGAGCAGATCTGAGGGATGCATGGGGCACTATAGAAGGAAGCTGGAAATCCATTCCACCAGTGGTGGAATGATACCATGGGATTCAGTGCTTGGTCGCCACTACAACAGCCTCAGATTAAACGAGTTTGGTCATCTTTAAATTCCTCACTAATGCTGATAATCTGGATCATGAAATATTGGGTGGGTTCATATGATACTTTAAGCCCAGGGTACCTATATACCTGGACTCAAAGTCATTGGCTACTGATTGGGCACAAAGGGGGTACTCAAGTGATGCCTCCCCCAATTCTCCAGCCACTATCCCAGATAGCACTGAGGGTCATGGGGACAACAGCTGTCAAAAGTGCATGCTTTCAACAGGTGCCATATGCCCCACACTTCTGTCAGCATCAGCAGGCATGTGGCACAGTCATCCTGGGACGGGGGATTGCATGAGACCCCTCTCTCTGGCCTTGCACGGCCAGTGTGAGGCGGCCTGTGCCATCTCCCTGCTGCAGCACTGCTCAGCTGAGTAGCTTCAGGGCTGAAGCAGTGGGAAAGCAACCCCTCCTCTTGGCGAGCTGCTGTCTAAGCAGAGGGGATGCTTCTCCATGTTAGCACAAGCACCTCAACCAGCAGGGCTGGTGCATCTCTTCCCAGGGAGATCCGGCTGAATGTGCCTTCTTCCTGCCCACGGGCATGATGCCCTTGTGCTCGCAGCTGCAAACACGGATCGGGAGGGGGCACATAGGGCTGCCTTTCCTTAGGAGGAGCTGCAGCTGAACATGCTGCCCTACCCCTGCCCCACAGTCATGGCAAAGGTGGAAAAGGGCGCATGCAGCAAGCCAGTACCTGCCATGTGCCCCTTCCGAAGTCCCAGGTGGAGCTTGGGAAGGTGGGGCAGGGCAGGCTCAGCTTGCCCACATGCCTCCTGCTGGGGAAGGCAGAGGTGCAGCTTTCTCTTGCTAGATCAGCAGTAGCTTCTTCGATTGTTAATCTCTTTTCCGAACAAGATCTTCGCCACTTGGTGAAACCTTTCACAATCCCCCAAGCATACCTTGCAGGACAGCCTGGCCTGAAAATGTGCTGATCAGAGAAATCTGATGCAAAAAAGCCATCTCTAATATTCTTTTGCAAAAGAAGCTCTTTAGGCAGGCAAAGTGCATCATGTAGCTGCTAAAATCCACTTTTCTAAAGGTAGAAGAGCAAAGGGGCTTCTTTTGCCTGCCCTCATCCTAATCTGGGGTAAACATGGCAGTCTAAGACAAACTTCAGCTCACTCTTCAGCTGTAAAATATGACAACACAAAGCATCTTCGGACACTTTAGGTAGAAAAAACTCTTGGAACTGCCAACATGACCCACCCAGCATAGCAGCTTGGATCAGGCTGGGAGAGGCTTTGCTTTGATCCTATCTCAAGGAATAGGGATCAGAAAGAGAAGGCCTCTAGGCCCTTATGAACATTAAGTCAAAACAAGCAGTAGCTTTATTACATTCTGTGTGCAAAATTCCTGCAAGTCCTCCTTAAATGATGATAGTTCCATATCCTGCTTTAGTGAACACATTTGGAGTATTTGGTTATGTGTGTATGTTGTGTCTATAAAGGGAGAGGTGAAGAATAGTCATGATTATTCTGTTGAATATCATTAACATTTACTGGTTGTGCTCTCAGTCCAGTTGCTGGGGAGAGAACACCATCTCCCTGCAGTATCTGCAAAGATAGAAATGGAAAAGGTATAAAAGGACAGGGCACTGGGCTACGATCGAAGTAGCTGGGCAATTACCTCCTCCTTCGAAGGGTGCATACCTGTGCCCACTGTTGGGAATTGAGACCCACAAAACTCAGTAGGCACAGGCTCACACCATCAATATGGGTTAGGACTCTCATACTGCAATTGCATAGCAGGAAACTGAATTGCTGTGGAGAGGTTTAAAAATAAAGAAACCATCAGACAGTGCAGCCATGCAAGGTGGAGGTATAATTGTGTCATTCATCACACACAGGCCAATTCTAGAAATAACCTTTGTCGAAACAGGGAAATCTGCATCTGTGCAGAAAGCATTGAAACTACTTTGGCCATTATTGCAACTGTACAGCTGTTTTCACCCATAAATACTACTTGCCAACAACAAACAAAAACAAAAGGGAGTTTGCAAAATGGCAAGAGCACACTTAGGACAGTTTTGTAGTTTGTCATTAGCAACATCAAGGGAAAAAGTTAATAGGTGCCCATTTAGGTACATACATTCCACTTGGCACTGAAAGGTCAATAATAATGGACATGCTATCTGGGAAACTACTGAATTCTTCCTAGCTGCATTTTGCATCCCGTACTCCCCTCTTTTGGATGTACAGAAATCAGCTGGTATTGTAGTACATTTTATTGTCTAATGTCCAGACATTTGATTATCCAGATACATCTCCACCTTCGGGTCTTTTTCCCCCAGTCCCCACCACATGTTGGTTAACTTCTTGCCAGCAATTAATCCTTCCAACTTTCACTGGCTAACCTGACTTCTGGACCTGATTAGGTTTCTTCCTCTTCCTCCTTCTTGTCCTTAGGCTTCTGTTCTGGCTCCTCAACTTTAAAACAACTAATTTGAAAGGTGGAAGGAAAAAAGAGCGAGGATTAAAAAGGAAAACTTGACTGAGTTATCTCCCTTTTGCCACAAGAGACCTCACCTTATGCTACTAATAGAACTGAACATCGGGCACCATAGAAAATGGTTTGGAAGGCCTCCAGATGCTGCCTCGCTAACCAGGGTCAGGTGCATCCACTGCTACTATAGGATCTTGCTTTTGGTTCACCAGTGCTAGAACTGGCACGTGGCAAAGGAAAAGCTCCACTGTAGTTGCATGTTGGTCGCCATAATCTGAGAGAAGTCTAATCAGCAGGGAACACTAAGTTTCTCTGATGGTGGATTAAAAGATTGAAATGCCTCACACGAGGCTTAGTTCCTGGTTGTGAGAATTTTAGGCTAAAATATGCTGGTACTGGGGGTATTGTAGCCCCAAACACCACTGAAATATGGCCCCAGGGTCATCTTTGAAATTTAGTCCAGCACTCCAACTGAAAGAGGCTCTCTACCCATGCTATGATGTTATATAATGCTCACCTGTAGTCCACATATCCCGTCCTGTTCTGGTCCAGCTTGTGCACCAGTTCTGCAACCTGTTCTCGATTCAGAGGAATCTTTGTTTGCTGGGATATAACAAGAAAAGCTTAACTGTATATTGAGTTACAGCTTGGTGATTCCATATTTCATTCCATGTTGGGAAAATAACAGGTAGCAATGATTCCACACCTCTCTCCTCCATCTATTCTGCAGAGAAAGATGCCATATAACAGGGCTCTGCCCTCCAGGCAGGACTTTGCGGCAGAGGTCCAAGGGACTACCCAACAGAATGAACAGGGAGACCTCCCACCCCCAGAGGCAATAGAGGTGGCTTACCATAGTTTGAAGTATGTGCAGTAATGCTCATTGCCATCTATACAGCCACAAGACCATTAAGGGAGAAGTCTAAAATGATCTAACATGAGGAAGTCAATTCAACTTCAGCTTCTCCCGCTAAAGGACCAGGTTTGCAGCCCTGGAGTGCTCCTGAATCCCAAGTTGTCATTTGGTGCTCAGGTGGACTCAGCACCTAGGAGCGCTTTCTCTCAGCCCTGGCTGATTATCAGCCCCTACTTGGATGAGTGGAGCTTTGCCAGAGTTGTCCAATTGCTGGTAACCTTCCCCTTGGACTGCTACAATGTGCTGTAGGTGGGGCTGCCTTTGAAAACGGTCTGGACATTGCAACTTGTTCAGAATTATACACTGGGTCTGCTAACTAGGATGGGCATTCATGAACACATCCTGCCAGGCTACATTGGCTGCCGCTTGCCATCCAGACCCAATTTAGAGTGCTTGCAATGACATAGAAGGCCCTAAAAGGCCTGAGACCAGGCTATCGAAGGGGGCACCTCTCCATCTATACCCTCCTGATCACTGTGCTGCACATCAGAGGCCCTCCTCTACATCCCCCCCACCGAGTGAAGTGGGGGGGCAGCAAGGAGGAGGGCCTTCTCTTGGAATGTGTGCCGCTTGTGCAATTTGATTGCACAGGAGATTAGGCAGACCCCAACTCTAGAATCCTTCAGATGCCGGCTGAAGACCTTTTTGTTTCACGTATATTTGGAAGGTTATTTTGCTGTGTTTGTTTTTAAATTTGTGCTGCCAGGATTTTAAGTGTAAATTGTATGATTTTTTAAAATTTTGATTGTTAATGATGCTATTTTAGCAGATTATTTTTATATCCCCTCTCTGTTTATTAACTTTTGTGATTTGCTTTATGTATTTATGTTTTGTTATTATCAGTTGTTTTATAATTATTAATTTTATTTATATTATTGTCTTGTTGCATGGTTGTATTTTATTCTTTGATTGTATGTAAGCTGCACAGAGAGCCTGTGGTTAATTGGGTGGCACAGAAATCAAATAAATAAATGAATATGACTTGTTCATAAGGAAATGCATTCAATTGCCTGAATTGCAAGGTGGAAAGATTACCTTGGCTGATCCTTCCTTTTTACTTCCTACATTTTCCTGGCCATGTCTACAGATGCACAGGTTTTCTAAAATCTGTGTTTTGCAGATTGTCAGGTATCTTTCATTCCACTGTCTGCTCATTGATGGAACTGAACTTTTCTCAATCTTCTGAATGTGTGTTTCCTTGGTTGCATAAATGTGCATTTGCAGAGATTCACAGATCCACCCCCTTGCCTGCAAACTCACATTTTTTATTTTTTAGGCACAAGGAGAAATTGTTGCATGCTATTCACTGGTTGGAGAGAGTTGTTATTTTGCTTTTTTGGTATGAATAAATTTTCAGACAATTCCAGAATTTTTTTAAAGGGGTCTGCAAAATCCACATAACTCAGAAAAAGCTGGTCCGCTATGGAATCTTCAGGTCAGCTTTGGAGAATTCTGAACTCTTTGAATCCATTGCCTTCTCCAGCATCCCCATCAATACTTTGCTAGCAGCCAGCCCTGCCCATCTCATGTCTGGGCTTTGGCCAAAAATGTTCCTGCATATCTCTGTTGACTGACTCACTGATATCCCACCTATTTCCATTGGACCCAAAGTAGTTTCCATCAATAAAACTGCAATCTCTACAAATTGTCTCATTTTTCAAAGAGCTTCACTTCCCAATAATGTCATTGCTTTTCCTCTCTCTATATTGGCCCATTCCTTTTCCTTCCTATCTACTTCTTGGTGCCATCAGTCATGTGATCTATGGGAAGGAAAATGAAAGTCTGTAGCCATAAATGAGTGTGAAGGTACTTGGTGTACCTTGAGATGTACCAATGAATGTGAGAAATTAACTCCTGCAGATAGTGAGTTGCTTCGCATGTCAGTCCTGCTTAGAGCAGACCCATTGAAATGAATAGGACTTATGTTACTTTAACACTGGATATATCCCATCATCCGTTGCAGTAAATCAAACTGAAAATGACCTTATTTGCATGCTTAGATGGCACAACATCCTACAGCTCCCAGCATGCCACAGCCACTCTACACACACGCAGGATTGCAGTATTTGTCATTTGCTGAAGACATCTGTTCTGGGAAGGGACTTGGAAGCTTATAAACGCAGTTTCTCACAGCCTCAGAAACATACAATTCCCAGGGTTCTTTGGCAAAACCCATGACTATTAAGTCATTCAAACTGCTTCAAGGTTTGAGACATACCAGCATCATGGCTCTCCGAAACTCTGCCACAGGAATTTTCATGTTGCCATATTTATCCATATTCCTAAAGAAATCCCAGAGTCTCAGCTTGTGATCATCCAAGTAGTTCTAGGGATAAGAAATGAAAAAAAGGAAAGAAATGCAAATGAGACCACAAATTCCATTACTCTGCACTCCACACACCATTGCCCCAATTTGTCCTACTGGAAACTCAGGTTACACGATCTACCACTATATCTACACCTTGGAGAACTCTTTTCTTGCTCAAATCCAGGTTGGATCCTTTAAAGGCTATACAACATGCAGCATTACATACCTAATGTACAGCTGATCCTTATCATTCTGCTTACTGTAACCCACCATTTGGGCCCTCCAGGCAGACTGGGACCATCGCACACACATAGGTGAGGTTTAAACCTTCTCAAACATTCCCCCCACCCCAAAGCCCACCATGCCCACCACCCTTGTGGAAACTGCCCCCCACCCCTCAGTGGAGATTGTTCTCATTTTTCTAGCCGACAGTTTGAGTGATATATTGGGAGGTGGGGAAACAGGCTTGGTGGGAAAGTTTCAGCAGCTCCTCTCTGTGCCTGGATCATGCCCCCAACCTGCTTGCACTAAAGAAAATGGTGAGGAGCAGCTTCCCATGCAGTGGAGTTTGAATGATACTGTTTCATGACGCAGTGTTGCTCCCAGTGCGTCCTGGTGGGGAAAGCTGGGGGATCGTTACGTACACAGTGTCTTTCAACCTCTCCGTTACAGGAGCACATGGCAGCTCACTGGCTGGCAGCCATTGCTTACAGCAGTAGGGAACATGCGAGGGGGAAGAGAAGAAGACGTGCTCCTCCTTTAGTCTCTTTCTTTCGCAAGCCCCCACCAGCGTCATGGAGAAATACTCTCCCACCTTTGTGGCTTGGGAACAGGGCTGCAAAGGTGGGAGCACCTTCTTCGGTCAGCACTACCAGAAATGGCAAAATAAAAAGATGTCTATGTCCATGGGGTCATGAAGGGTTGGACACGACTTAGCGACTAAACAAAAAGGCACCATCCAGTGGGGCTGCCAGTAACCCCCTGAAGGAGGATTACAGGTTTCCCATGCAGGGTGGGAGTAGCATGGGAGCAATCTTCACCTCTGTGCACCTTCTAACTTGCAAATCAACTAGATGGCTGATTTCAGCCAATTAGCTGAGACGGGGAAGAAGGAGTTTCCTCTGCTGGACCTGGTCTCCCTTCCCCATCTCCCAGAAGCCCCCTCACCGTTTCCCCAAGGCTTTCATGTGGCCGGAATGTTCTTTCTGTGTCAACTGCAAGGCAGGGTGGGGAGGACAAATCGCACATGGATCCCCAGCCCTGAGCTCTTTTCTGACCCCTGATCTGGGTCTCCAACAAATCTCTAGGGGCTGTAGGAATGATCTCTGGTGGGGGGGATCTCTGATCACTTTATGCACCCCAGCATGTAATTTAGTTCACCCCAGTAAACTCCACTGAAATCAATGAGACTTGCAGTGAATAGGACTACACCGCTAAAGTTACACAAGCACTGCTTTGCTCACAAAGACCTAGTCAGGTTTTACACTGTTTATACTTCAGCATTCAGGCTGGGACCCTGTTCCTCCCTCCTCAGAGCGGTGCCGCCAGCATTGCAGCTGGGTCAAAGAAGGAAGCACCAGCACAGAAATCTGAAAATAAAGCATTGTGTTTGCAACAGGCTTGGGCCCCTGTGTTCCTGGTGAAGGACCTTTCCAGCAGATCCTATAGGAGTTCCTGAGTTGGCATGAAAGGTCAGGAGCTCAGGCTGCAAGGATGTGATTGGATCAGGATGGAGACCAGTTGCCTGCCTCCCAGAAGTAATCCTATCATCCAACTCCATACCACCATCTGGCAAGGCTTGTAAGGACTGCATAAGAAGCTGCTGAGAAACCACATCAAACCACTGGTCCATCTACCTCAGCACTCCCTCCACAAACATTGGCTCTCCAGGATGTCAGACAGAAGTCTTTTCCCAAGCCTACCTGGAAATGGCAGGGATCGACTCTGAAACTATTGGAATGCTAAGCACCTCTTTCTTGGTATCTTGTCCTACACTTTCACGATACCTCTCTTATGTTATCTCCAAGTGAGCCAACCTTGTTGCCTTTGAGGGCCCTCCTGTTTATACAGCTAAACGCACCAGCCACAGCTTGCCCAGATTCCTGCTCTGAGTGAGCTCACTGACCAGCGCTTTGCCAAAGTGCATTAAATGCAAGGAGAGACCCTCACCTGAATCAGCTTCATAGGATCTGGGAGCTGCTCCAGTTTCTTGGAAATGGAGCCTCCAACCCCTCCATAGATGACATCAAGTTCAGGCCGGATCTCACAGACGATATCCAGCAGCTTGATGAAGCCTTCATTCACCAGCACGTTCTGAAGCAGAGCAAAGAGCAGATCAGACTTCGTGCAGAAAGAATGGACTCTGTTGCCCGAGACTGAGGCTTACTTGCCAGATCTCTTACTGGGGATAACATCTGTGGATTCGCTTTATTCAGAAAGCAAAACAGCAGTAAGATTGAAACTTTTTGGTTCATTCATCACCGTGCCAAATTTGCAGAGGAAACTGAATACAGATTATGGAAGGTTTTAAAGGAAGGTCAACATTAAACATTTCAGAGACTACCTATACATTTCTGAGCTCTCCCACCCATCATATCCTCTTACTGAGACGTTTATTTCTTCCATTCTGGATTTTGAATTCTTCCTCACCGATGTGACAAGTGCAATGGCGCCCTCTACTGTAATAGGATTCTGAGATATCTAAGAGGAAAAGAAGAAACAGATTATCTGGCTATAGAATCATAGAATCAGAAGAGTAGAATAGTAGAGTTAGAAGGGGCCAGAAGGCCATTGGGTCCAACTTCCTGCTCCGTGCAGGACTCAAACTTAAACCATGCCTCTCAGATGGCTGTCCAGTTGCACCATGAACGCCTCAAGTGTGGGAGGACCCACAACCTCCCTAGTTCATTGGTTCCATTGCCACGCTGCTCTAACAGGAAGTTCTTCCTGATGTCTAGCCGAAATCTGGATTCTTGTAAATTGAGCTATTATTCCATGTCCCGCGCTCTGGGGTGGTTGAGAAAAGATCTTCTTCTTCTTCTTCTTCTTCTTCTTCTTCTTCTTCTTCTTCTTCTTCTTTGTGGCAGCCTTTCAAGTACTTGTAGAGTGCTATCATATCTCCCCTCAGTCTTTTCTTCTTGAGGCTAAACATGCCCTGTTCTTTCAATCTCTCCCCATTGGGCTTTCTTTCCAGTCCCTGGATCATCCTTGTTGCTCTGCTCCAAGTCCTTTCTAGCTTGTCTGCATCTTTCCTAAATTATGGTGCCCAGAACTGGACACAGTACTCCAGATGAGGCCTAGCTAGTGCCAAGTTAAGGGAAACCATGGGATTGGAAGTGATACTTCTGCTAATACAGACTAAAATAGCATTTGTCCTTTTTGCAGCCACATCACATTGTTTACTCATATCCAGTTTGTGATCTACAACATTTCCAAGATCCTTCTTACTTGCAGTATTGTTGAGCCAAGTATTCCCTATTTTGTAATGATGCAGTTAGGTTTTTCCCCTCAGGTGCAAAACCTGGCATTTGTGCTGAAGGAATTTCATTCTGCTGTTTGCAGCCCAGAACTCCAACCTATCAAGATCACCTTGAATCTTCTTTCTGTCTTCCAGGGTATTGGCTATCCCACCCCGTTTAGTGTCATCTTCAAATATGATAATCATTTCCTGCACTTTCACATCCAATTCATTAATAAGAATGTTGAAAAACACAGGGCTCAGGACCGAACCCTGCAATATCCCAATCACAACCTTTCCCCAGTTTTAGAAGGTGCCATTGATGAGCACTCTTTGAGTCCAGTTCTATAGCCATCTGTGAATCCACCTGATGGTTGTTCCACCTAGCCCACTTTTAGCTAGTTTGCTAATCAAGATATCATGGGACACTTTATCAAAAGCTTCTTGAGAAATCCATGTTGGCTTCTAGTAATTGCTGCATTGTTTTCAAGGTGTTTTCAGACTGACTGCTTTATTATCTACTTCAGAATTTTTCCAGGGATTGATGTCAGGCTGACCAGTCTGTAGTTCCCAAGTTCCTCTTTTTGTTTTCCTTTCCTGAAGACAGGGCCAACATTATCCCTTCTCCAATCATCTGACACTTCCCCTGTCCTCCAAAATTTCTCAAGGATAATAGACAGTGGTTCTGAGAGTTCTTCCACCAGCTCCTTTATGACTCTAGGATAGGCACAACAAATCTTTGTGGTCCTAGGCTACAAAGGGTCACTTGGATCATGAAATCCTGGGCTTATCCCTGTTCTGATAGGACTTTAGGCCAGTGTTCTCCAAATTTGGTGCCCTCCTGATGTTTTGGACTACGACTCTCAGCATGCTTCGTCTTTGGCTCTGATAAAGGCAGTGGTGATGAGACACATGGGTTTTTTAGATTCTACTAAAAGCCCAGAAGCCGCACACACAGACTGGCATGCTACTGTACAGGCTTCTCTACAGGAGACAGAACTTTGCTGAGGTTTCTCCTGTTTCCTTTGCAGGGAAGTGTTTGGTTGTTTTGGGGTGGGGGGTGGGGTACGGGGCACATTCCTTTCTGCCTTGCTATATGTTCCATTACACAACACAAGGTGGTGCTGTGATATAGAGTGGAACTGCAAAATTAGAGTTAGTATGTGTAGCAAATCATGGCAGCATCCAAAGCCAAGTGCGGGCTAATATAGTGACATATACATTGAAATAAATACGTAAATAAATAAAGCATATGTGCCTTGCTCCATAAAAAACTCCAGAAATGGCTGGAAAACATGGAGGAAGCCCCAGAAGGAGGGGGTGGCATGAAAAGGCCTTGCGAACATCCATGAGTAAGGAGTCACGAGGCACAATACATGCCTCCTGCAGAGAAGCCCCACCTGGCTCACACAAGCCATATGGTGCCCACCTACGCATGCGCCTCCAGAAAATTCCAGGCAGGAAAATGAAACATTACCTTCAGTATGCGAAGGCTTCCGTTGACTTCTAATCCTCTGCACAGCTTTATAGTGCCTTCGTTGTTGATGTGGTTGCTGCTGATGTCCAGTTCAGTTAGGACGCTGTTGACCTTGAGGGCTTCCCCGAGGGCCAGAGCACCCTCGTTCCCAAAGCCATTCCAAGCCAGGTTAAGTATCTTCAGGCATCCATTGGCCTCCAGGGGGAGAGGAAGGAAGAGGAAAAGCAAACTAACATTGACGGGTGACTCTGTGCATAAAACCCTGTAATCTCTTTTTCGAAGGGAAGTATAGACACTCTTAAAAATTAGATCCATAAATGAAGATATCAAACCCTACGAAAAGCCTGCTGGGTCAGGCCAACATTTATCTGGTAATGCATTTTGTTTATAAAGCAGCCAACCAGCTGTCCCGGGAGAACCAGGGGGAACCCACAAGCAGGACATGAGGGCAACAGCACCTCCCTGGCCCCAGGAACTGGTACACACAGGCATACTCTTGGGAATGAAAGAGGTAGCTGCTCTCTGCACGCTTTCCAGGCCAGGGTGGCACCAACTCTTCAGACAAGGACGGTGAGGCCTGGGAAAACGGGTCTGTTGACATTGAGATGGTGGAGGAGGAATTGCTTATCTCAAGGCTACTGTCTCCAGGTGTTCAGACTGACTCTGGGAACTGACAGCGTTGGAAGCGCCGGGAGGGGACATGGGAGAGGAGCCAGAAGAGCCTGTCCCAATCCTTAACCCCATGGTGCAGCGTCTAGCAAACTGGAGGGTCTGCATATATCTAGGAGGCTTGCCCATCTCCACAGGGGACACCCAGAGGGGTGGGGCCCAGGGTTACTGAAAAGAAAAGTGCTTGGGAAGTTTCTGGTTTGGGTTCAATGAACCACTCTGTACACGTCCAGAGACTCTTCCTTTGTTGCCGTATAGCTTGCTGGATGTACACTGGAAACAAAGTGCCTTTGCCAAATAACTGTTCATTCTATGAAAGGGAGAGGCAGGGAAGCCAGCCACCGACAGCACACTGCTTCTGATCTGGAGGTAGCACAGTGCCACAAGGACTAGTACTTCTGTTAGCCTTCTCTTCCATGACAATGTCCTTCATATCTATGATCTATACATATCTTTATCAGTGTGAGCTCCCCGGGAACTTTGGTTATAGGGCGTATTACAGACATATATATTGTAAGACCATCCCAAGACAGTAGTATTCGGAAGGTATACAAAAATCTTAAATAAATAAATAAATTTTAAAAATCTGACCAGGGTAGTGGTCATTGTTGCATTAGCCCCTGTTGTTTACCAACTGCCTTCTCATGACAAGGGGCTTCTCTACATGAAGCATTTTTAGTATGCTTGTGTTCCCTCACAGACGTTTGCAGGTTCTTTTTACAATATTGTTGTCCTCCTGGGTCTCTTCTGAGTTTTCCAGCATTTTTCAGAGGGTTTTTTCCCCCAGTAAAGAAAGTCAGGAATCAAGTCATGACAAACTGGAACAAAACATGAAGAGCCACTATACTGCAGCTATAGTACACACCACCTTGCAACTGAGCACAGAATATATCAAAAGGCAGAGAAATGCAACCATGCCGGAAAAAACCCAGTGTACAGCATGCATTTTCCCTCTGTTATGAAAATAGAAGATGCCTCCATACAGCAGAGGGTTCAACCACTCATGTAAAGAAACTCTAGGAATGCTAGAGGAATTCTGCTTTTGTTAATTCCAATGCAAAATGACCTCCCACACTAACATTTGGATCAGTGGGTAATTATATTTTGGCTGTTGCAGTTCTTTGAATTTTGCAAATATAACTATAAAGATAAGATACACTTTCAAATGTGTATTTTAGCAGAAAATATGTTCAGAAATATGGATTTAAATGCATTTAGATGCATTGACATATCAATATTTGTGCAGATATTTTAAAATGCCTATGAAGAAACATTACAAGACAGCCTTATGAACACAAATGCAGTAGACACCATCTGGAAATAGAATGCTCTATCCCTCCTCATAATGCTTCCATCTCTAAAGCTCTAATGTAGCTTTCAAGTGCCATCCCACGGTTCCTAGACAGCAACTGGATGGTCGCGGGGTTTTTAATAGTTTTAGATCCAAAGTCAAAATTCATGTTCCTGTTTTTTCAGAGCAGCAAAACACACAACTGGGGTCATATTTTTAAATTTATTTCAGCCCCAGAAATAATGTATGTTTTGTCTTTGTGTTTTGCAGGGGAGACAAAATTTGGACTGATACAGAGAAGTGCTTTTTTTACACAGTACATTGGTAAACTAGGGAATTCACTTCCACAAGATGGAATGATGGCCTTCAAAGGAGACTGGACAAATTCATGAAGAAGGCTATCAACAGTTGTCCATCATGGAGGCTATATATTACTTCCAGGATCAGAAGCAGCACACCAATGTGCACCAGTTGCTGGGAAAGCAAGCAGGAAGATGTTGTTGCATTTCCGTTCTGTTTATGGGCTTCCTATTGTGGAAGCTGGTTGGCCATCTCGTGACCAGAACGCTGGAGCAGATGGGCCCTTGGTCTTTTCCAGCAGGGCTCTTCTTCTGCTCTTTCACGGAACTGTCCAGGATCTCTCTCTGGTTTGAACTTCTACCTCTGCAGCTTCCTCCACACACCCAGCCTTGCTTTGCCCCAACTCAGCAGAAGGTTAGACAGATTCTTACCCTGAGGCCAGCACTCAGGGCTACAGCCCCTTTCATCCGCAGCTGATTCCAGCTCAAGTTGAGGATCTCCAGTGACTCATTGTTGGCTGAGGAGAAGAAGCAAAACAGCAAAGCAGGACAAAAAAGACTTTGCTGAGGAAGCAAAGATTAGGACAAGTGAAAAGTGATGCTTCTTTGAAGACATGAGAGGTGCAGAGGGGGCCACAGCAGTCCCAGAGTCACACTGTCTTATTATAAGTGCTGGACAGGAGTAGGAGGCACTTTTGGCAGTGCTGAAGTCTGGCAGCTAATCGCCACTTTCCCCCATTGCCTGAGCAGGTGCTTGTTACATTGAGTGCATATTAGAAGACACGAATGCATTGTCATTAGCACTAGCTCTGGGCTCAGCTGGAGCCTACCTTTATGTTTTCTTTAAAACTGGTTGTGGCCAGTTCAGCAACTTGCTTTGCTTCAAACATCATGGTAAGATAGACCTCTTGAAGGATGAATGGGGCATCGGGCATGCAAGAAATGCTTGTGGCTGTTCCCCACTACCTGTATCATATTTGCCTCTAGTTTTTTGTTTGTTTGTTTTAATAGCATCGGCTTCCAATGATCTCTTGGCCAAATGGAAGCCAAACTCAGCTAATGTTGCCCCTTCCCTCTGCTCAGGCAGTGTGGGATGCATCACTCACAATAGTGGTAGTATCGGCAGAAATAATGAGTAAGGTTACCAAGCATCTGTCCCAGCTGCTCTCCAGCCTTGTCAGCAAACTCGTTGTGGCTAAGGTCCAGCTCTATCATTCTATAATTGGCCTGGGGAAAGAAACGGCACACAGACACAAGACTCAGCTGAGACCTTCAGTCCAAGGGCTAGCCTTGGACATTCAGTTTCCTGATGCAGAATCCAGTAACCACGGCTTCCCCTGCCTCACAAAGCCTCTTTGTGGTGTGCAGCCATCAAACTCCCCTGAGGTAGCAGTGATTCTATCTCCAACACGGTCCCATGTGTACAACCTATTTGGGTTGGTGGACACACTTAGGATTTTGAGAAGGTGCCATGGTGCTCTCGGAAATGGCTGCCATGGAGAGGAATTTGCCCATCTGTAAAAAGGCTACCCTGGTGGTCATGGCTGGTCATAAAGCACCCCGGAAGGCCACATGGTGAGACAAAAAGAAAAGCAACTTGCGCAAAGGCCTTATGTACAAGGCAGAGATGGGAGCTGAGTGCCAAAACACAAAGCCACTCATTTGAACCCAATAAATACGGAACTGGAGAGCCGTGGTCCACTTTGCAGCATACTGGCCTCTAATTTTTAAAAATCTTAAAATCAGGATTGGTAGGCAGCCAGGTGGATACCATGACAGCTGTCCATGTGCACTCAGCGGAGACTCCATCACTAGGACATGCCATGAGATGCCTGTCTTGGTGTGATGCATAATTTTGTCACCCTTCCACTCTCTGCTAATGGAACGTCCTTCCTCCAGTCTGCCTTTTGGAGTGGCAGCCACACTGGGCTTAATGGCAAAGTCACCCATATTTACACCCCCAGAGTAAGCATGGTAAGCTCTCACTGGTTGTGTTTTGCAAAGCATCTCACAGCTCTGCCAAAAATCAAGCTACTGAAATGAAGAACACCTTGAGAGGAATTGATTTATTTGTGGAGGACTGCAAGTTCCATTCTGGGTACCTGGGTTTAGTATTTTTTAGTTCTAAGGGTGTGACTTTTGCAGCAGGCTCCAGTTGCTCGACATTGGGTGTCTAGTTTAAAAGAGTAGATCCCACAAGCCAGAAGTCTGCCCAGCTCTATCCTATGCTAGGCTTCTCCCAGATCCTCAGGCGGGATTTCAGCTACTGCCTTACACCAACCAGAGGTTTGCGCCATTGTAGTTGTCATGAACAATAAAAAGTCTAGAGCAGGGGTGGGTAGCTTGTCACCCTCCAGGCTCTGGCCTGCAACTCCCACCAGCCTAGCCAGGATAAACAATGGTGAGGGAGTCTGGGAGTTATCAGCCAAAACAAGAGGAGTGCCACAAGCTGCACACCCTTACCTTAGAGACGAATACAGTGCATTTATTCTGGCGTAACCTTTTGCATCAGATGTAAGGCAGAACGTGATGAATATCAAGGTTATATATGCTACATATGGAGGTAGGGGCTGTGGTGTAAAGGGTGTGGTCAGAAGGAAATTCAGTGCAGAGACACTGGTGGTGCAATCCTGCTCTTAACAGGGGCCCTTTGCATTGCAGTTCTTGCTGATCACACAAACATCCTGGTTACCACTTAGCTCTGCAGTGCCTGGACAGCCCCCATTTCCTCTTAGGGTCAAGGCCAATCTGAAGAGCAAGTCCATTATCCTTCCTCCTTAAGAAGAGGAAGAGGAAGAAGCTTGGAATCAGGGGGATCAAGCCTGGGGAGGGGGGCTGCACTATCCAACCCTTTCCCTTCTTGCCATTGGTCAGTTCAGAATCACCCATCCGTTTCCCTCAGCTGCTCTGCTCCTGACAAGAGAAAAGATACAGGGGCTCCGCCTGCAGCCTGGAGAAAACTCCTTTGGGGAGGGGTGTTCTGAGCAGACATGAGGCATGACAGAGGATTGTAAAGCAGCTCCAGGGTGTCACTCCTCCACTCCCAGTTTCCACTTCCCTTGATGGCCTTGCATTAAAAAGGACATCTCCAGGCGGACCACCTGAAATTTCTCTGGGAGGAGCACAGTTGAGCACAGCATAAGCCCTGCTCCAGCCACAAGAAGGTCGGGCTACACAAAAGGCCCCACAAAGGCCATGGGGCTGCACCACCCCGGGGCTCGGAGGAAGAGCTTGTACCACGCAGAAGGCACAGTCTGAGCATGGCTTTGGGGAAAGGGGGTCCATTTGTCCTCCATGATGCTGCCAGATCCCATGCACCAGCCTTCCCCCACTGGGTCTTCCAGATGGTTGGACTGCAAGTCTCATCATTTCCAGCCAGCGTGGCCAATGGGAGCTGCACAGCCTGCAGGATTCTTGTTAGACACATAAAGGTTCAGAGTCCAGGCCCATAGGAGACATATTTCCATATGCAGATTTATAAACGCAAATATAGAAACAATTACTAGACTTTATTTAAATTTCAGGGGAGGCAAAAAGCAGGCAATTAATTCTTCATCCAAATAATCTCAAATAAAAGAAATCCTTCAGTTAATTTGCATCCCACCTCAGATAATTCCAAACCAATGGAAGACATTTAAGCTTAATGACCACACATGCTGGGAGATATTTTGGGGTGGGGTGCTGCACCATGTGGGGGAGAATTAACCCTTGCTTCCCCAGCCACAATCCCCCTTGAAAATCATGCCCTGTCTGGCAATTAAGCTAAGAAAAAGATCTTTCACTGGCACCAATATACTCCGGGCTCTGGGGAATAGATGCATCCCTGATGGAGGGTGCTGTGGCCCAAGACATCTCAGGGCACTGGGTGCGGAAAGCTGCTATTCACAGCTGCCTCTTCAGCACGTCACAATTGGACCATGTGTTTGCTGAATGATGGAGGGACTGTCATACACAGGAGTGCCAAGGCCCATCATTCCTCTAATGGGTCTACGGAGTTCTTCCACTTGTGGCCATTGTGCATGTTTGCCCTCACTGTGTTGCAGTCTCACACACCTTTCCTGGCTAGCAAATTACTCACCATTAATGATTCAGAAAAATACAGTGCCGCCTCTTCCCTAAATTGGTTTCCTGCAGAGGAAGAAAGGATGTTACCAGGACAGAGGGCTCTTTTGTACAAGTCCAGGGTCAAGAGCATGCAGTGGTCTCATTCAGTGTTATTCCTCCAAGGAAACTCTTCAGACACATTGGCTCTTTCTGCGGTGCCACCTCATGTTCCTAGTCAACCCTCCACTGTACCCTCACTACAGCCCTGTTAGGTAACTACCCTAGTGATCTCCCTCCAGTTAGAGAAGATTGATGAGCGCTCTTTGTGTCCAATTTGGCAGCCAATTTTGAATCCATGGAATAGTTTTTCTATTTAGCCCACTGTTCGCTAATTCGCTTATCAGCATGTCGTGGGGCACTATGCAGAAAGCGTTGCTAAAGTCAAGGCAGATTATGTCCAGTGTTCCCTCTGTCCATTTGGGAGGTTACCCAGTTAAATTCGCCATGGAATGGTGATACATGGTGAAGTGCAGGGGTGGCATATGACTGTTATCATCTCCATCAATAAGAAAGCACCAGTGCTGCATCTTGGAAGCTGTGGGTCCCTTACACCATGGCCAGGGACTGAACTGAAGCCATAGGCATGCAAAGCATGTGTTGGACCTCGAGAGGTTGGAGAAATTTGCAACAGATTCAGATCTGAAGTTCAGATTTCTGTGAATCCGACTGCAAAATGGACTTGCATAGTACACACATTCCGTGGAATGGTTGACTGCTTTGTCGTTTGGGGGGAAGATTTACACTAATGAGCATTGTTGTAGGTAAAGCCAAATTTTGGCTAAGAAGAAATAGGAGTCAGTCAATGAGCAGATGACAGAATACAAGATGCTTGAAACCCGGACAGAACAAATTTAAGATAATCCATACATCCCTACTTGAGGCATTTAGAAATCTATGACAAACATACAGATCCTTACAGAATATACTCAAATATGCTCTGGGTGATTTGTAGTAGATCTCTGAAGGCTTCTAGCTAGGAATGAGTCATCTGTCAAGCTCAATTTTGCTCAGCTTCTTATTTTTATTTGGCTAAATTCACTCTATTTCATTTCTTCATCAGATTGGATGAACATATTTATGCATATTTTCATGTATCATTTCCAGACTATATGCATCTGTGCCTGTTATTTTCAAATGTATGCATTTTAAGCAATTTTCCGTCAGATAAAGCATTTTTGTTCACATTTTCCAAATATGCAAATTTTGTATGCAATTTTTTGGTGGGAAGGGTGCTGTAAACTGCATTACAAGTACAAGCTTTGGAACTCTACAGATTTTGACATTTAATCATGTCCAATTCATGTTTTGCTTTGGGAACTGCAAATTCAGTGAACCTAACAAATATCTCACCCATTCCAATTCTGTCTCCCTAGACTTTAAAAATTGACATCCCCGCCCTCCGCAAAAGCCCCCTGTTGCAGCTGATCCTATACTCATCCCTTCTACCAGCATCGGCATTCCTCGCCTATATACATGAGTAACGGGCACATGCCAGCTCTGCTGTCCAGCTTTAGAAGGCTGCATTATAATCCGCAATCTGTGGTCACTTATATTCATTAGAGTATTTTTATCTTACTCTTCAGCCAAAAAGGCATCTGAAGTAGCTTATAAACAATCGTGCAAAGAAGACAATCTGCCCATGGGATTGCAATCTAAAAAGACATATCATGTAAGGGAAACAGCAGGACTGGTGGAATGGCTCTGCTTCCCCCTCCTACCTCCTGCAATACAGCCTTGTGGAGTGGCTGTTGGTGGCAACAGAAGGAGGTTTGCCCTTGAATACACAGGCTCTTGGCCTGTGGAGAACATCTGCCAATTGCCTCTGTCCCAAGACACCACTGCATGCATGGCTGTGCCCTCTTGGCCACCATTTTGCATTGGTGCCTGGTTGGAGGCCCTCCAGGTCTTAATCAAAAGAAACCAAAACTGCGTAGTTCCCACAAAAGTGAAGTCTGTCTACTCTTGCTGTGGAACTTTTGGGGAACTTAGAAATACCAACTTCTGATTACTATTACACTGCACTGATGTTCCTCCTGCAAGGAACCAAAGGCAGCTTACATAGTCCTCCTCCACTCCATTATATCCTCACAACAACCACCCTGTGAAGTAGCTAAGACTGGGAGTGGGTGACTGGCCCAAAGTCACCCACTGAGCTTCATGGCACAGCGGGACCAAGTTCCCCTGAGCTCCAGTCCAACACTCTGGCCACCACACCACACTGCGCCTTCTTCCCCCATTGCTCATGGGCAGTAGTGAGGCAGACCCAGAGCGCGAGGGCAGGATTCCAGCGATGGTGGCATCTTCGGCCACCCCTCTCAGGCTACCCTGTTCCACCTGATCTTAGGTGCCTTCCCCATAGAAGCTAGGGAAGAAAGCTCGGTTTTCCCAGCAGCAACACATTCTTCGGAGCTAGCCCTGTTGTAAAGCAGGGTATCTGGGGGTAGCTTGTTCTTGGCTGGGCAAGACACAGCAGCTTTACCAAAGGCATATATGATAGAGAAAAAGAGAGGGCAGGAGAGAGGGAGGAATCACAGCTCAGCTGCACTTCCAGACTCTCTTTGGTGCCCTGATAATGGGATTTGCCACAATGGCCACCTGCATTTAAATTGTTAGCATTGCACCCATGCTCATAGGTGTACAAAGCCTACCTGAAAGTTGAATGGACCGGACATTAGAAATGTTATTGAAGAACATCCTGCAGATTGCTTCAGCTCCATCTGTATTGAGATGATTATTGGAAATGTTCTGAAAGGACAATGAGGAAAAATGTGCGGCGTGGGGGAGAGAAGAGAGGAAACGAACCTTCAGAGGATGAAGCTTTCCAAGTTAGGAATGCTTAGGATATCTGACATCTGTTAAGTCCTGTGTGAAACTCTACTCAGACATGGGGTTTGCTTGTTTGTTTAATTTCTATATGTTGGGCAGTATCTCTATAGCTGAAGCTATAACTGAAGCTCTTTGGGCAGTTTACAACTGTTTATAAAATGCAGTAAAGTACAATATAAAATACAGATAACAATAAAATAAAAAATGTCACTACAGAGTATATTTAATGATTACAATAGTAATAACTGTATTTAAGCAACTTAAGCAGCTGAGTTAAAACGAGAACCTGTTAAACAGCAAACATAATGCCTCCATATACTAATTAAAGCTGTTCAGTGCCTTGGCATTAAATACCCTGGGGCCGAAAGGATTGTAGAATTGGTGTCTGGTGAACTTCAGTGGGGAGCCTGTTCCATAACTGGGGCTGCCAGTGACAAGGCTCTCCTGCTTGTCACCACCAGAAGAGACTTCCTTAGAGATGGCATTTGGAGGAAGGCCCTGGATGTGGTGGTAGTGACTGGCAAGATTGCAGCTGGGAGAGGCGTTCCATCAAGTGATCGTTAATGGTATTGAAAGGCACTAAGAGATCCAGAAGAGTCACGCTCTACAACCTTTCTCCTAATGTAGGTCATCCTACAGGGCAACCAAAGCCATTTCCATCTCGAAATGTGGTCTGGACCCCGACTGGAAAGGATCCAGATAATCAGTCTCATCCAAGAGTGCCTGGGACTGCTGGGACTGGTTTCAGTCTTTCCTGGTTTTAGACCCGGGGTGGGTGTTGGTGGGCTACTGCCTGACCCCATGACCATTGAAATGGGGTGCAGCAAGTGTCTAGCTTGCCTTCTATACTTTCAAATGTAACTTTGGAAACATGTTATCTTGGAGGGCAAGTTATCTGGAGATTTGGGCTGGGGTTTCCACAGTATGGTGATAACACTTAATTTTACTTTGATTATTGCATCTTGCACCCTGCACTTTCTCTAGATGGCCATTCACTGCTATCTAGATTTAGTACTGTGGAGTGGGAGGGAAGGAGGCTGGAATCAGTGTAAGTCCTTTCAATCCTACCGTCTCCTCCTCCCTAGCCCCTTTTCCACCTCTGAAGTCCAGTTGCAATGATGTCAGGGTTCTATGCTTAGAATAAGCATAGAGTTTTGAAAAATCCGCATTTCCCCCATTTGAAATGCATACTTTTCTTGTTCAGATAAACCAAAAAGAACCCACTAACAGAGCTGGAAGTGAACCAAACTGAGATCTGAAGTACAGTTTGGAGAATTTTGGAGAGTCTGATAGTCTTGGTTCTTCTATGCTTAATCTTTAAAGACCTGCCTGTTTACCCTGTAAACAGGAATTTATAATTGGCCTACAATTAATTGGGACATTATTGTGTATTGTTGTGGTAAAACATTTTGCTCCTCAATAAACAATACAAAAATAATAATGAAATAGGCAAGCAGAATGGTCAAGAAAGCTCATTCTCAAATATAAGTGAACTCCCTTTACCCTCCATACAGGGAAAAAGTGGATACCATCTCTTGGATGTAGCAGTTTTCCCGCAGCATCTGCACCAGGTATGTGGTTCCTTCTCCCAGAATCCAGTTATCCTCTAGCTCTAAGTGAGTGATTGTTGTGTTGGACTATAAAAAGGAGAATTAATTAAATTAAATTAAATTAAATTATGTATTAAATAAATTAATTCAAAGAGGACAGAGAGCTGTTATTGTTATTATAATTTTATTGCATTTATATCCCACCTTTTTATTCCTGTAAGGAACCTAAGGTGGCTTACAAAGTTTCACTTTATCCTCAGCAAGAACCTTGTGGGATAGATTAGGCTGGCCCAAGGTCACCCAAATGAGCTTCATGGTCAAGTGAGGACTAGAATCCCGATCTCCCAGGTCCTCAGCCCAACACTCTAACCACACCGTCACACTGGCTGTCTCAGACAAGTAGCTAAATTAGGTTACTCAGACTGTCATTAAGTGTTAAGTCTGTCTTCAATATTATTTGTCACAACTTGCCATCCATAAAATACAGACACGAGAAAATCCAGCCAGTTAACATTACCAACCAAATTCACTGTATCATTGCATTCTTTGTGTCAATGCAGTTCATGTGCTTCTTTTTAATGGCAGTCGTGTATGGGCAGGCAGAGCAGCACTACAATGTGCAGTGGGGGGCAGGGTTAAACTTCCATGCCGCTGATGGAAATCCTAGTAATTTTCCTCCTGGGCTGGTAGCAGTTCAGGTGGGGGGCAGTCCACTGGGTTGTTACAGCGGGGAGGATCAAAGCCTCCTTCTCACCCATCCTGGCCTCAACTCTGATCACTCCCCTGCTCTGTTAGTTAATGTTGGTTAGTCTTCAAAAGTGAGCCAAGCATGAATGCATGCACAATTCATGCGACATGCAGGTTAGCACTGCTTCATGTGACCATCAGCACATGCTGCAGATGTAAGTGCTCAACCAGTGGCAATACTTGTTGAGCAGCTTAGTACATAGCACCACACTCCGGGAGGTCGTTGAGGCCCCATCCGTGAGGGTGTTCAAGGATAGGCTGGACATGCACATGGTGGGAATGTCACGAGCGGAGCTGGTGGGAGCCAGGGGTCAGACTAGATGGTCCGGGAGGCCCCTTCTGACTCTCTCTGTTTCTCTGTTTTCTAGGCAGTGATGCTTGCAATGCAATATGCAAACCCTGCATGGTGGAAGCATCGCAGAAATTATGCCCAAGAGAAACCTAAGTGCAGAAAAGGGCTGGAGGAGGGGTTGAGGAGCAAAGTGCTCTGGTCTCCTTTCTGTCTGTCTAGGTAGCTTAAAAGCAGCAGAAGCAGGGAGCGTGAATTAGATTGGGACTGCACGGTGGGGAGCAGGGATTAACTCATTGCTCTCTTGCTATTTTTCTGGTAAAATTGACACATACCATAAATTTGGGAGCTCCATTCATAGATTTGTCCTTGACTGGCTTAGATTGCCTTCCCCCACCAGATATGTTAGACTCCACCTCCTTTAGTCCCTGCTAGATGGGGAATATGGGGTGTAATTCAGCACATCTGAAGGGCACTGTGTTGGGCTTGGCCTTAAAAAGGATTTATTTCAGCTCTCTTGGATCTGAATAAGTCCTCAGTGCTCTCACCATTGTGGAAACCAAGCCAAGTTCAGTTCCCTTCCTGAGACCCCTAAGTCTGACCAAGAAACTATAGACAAAGGGAGAGATGTAATGCTTAGCACACCTTGCTTGCTGAGTTTGTGAATGTTGCATGTGTGGACACAAGCCTTCTCCAGCCATGAAGCAGTTGCTGCTTTTGTAGGTGTGTTGACTGCCAGTGAAATACCACTGAAGAAATCCATGTTAAGTACTCACAACCAGTGCGATGGCAATGGCTTTGGTACCCTTCGGCCCAAGACCATGATGGTTAAGGTTCATGACAGGCTCTTCCATGTTCCGAATGAAGTATGAAACAGGAACTACTCCCACCAGCTTGCAAGCCTCGATGTACAGCTCCGCACCCTTGACAGTTGCAAACGATCGCTCAGTATCTGTAACAGCAAAGCAGTCCGGTTGGCAAAGCATTTCCCCCTAGGATTCAGCAGGACAGTTGCAAAGAAAAAGGGTGAACTGGAGATCCTGAAAATATTTATAATATTCATGTGGTTGAGCACCTCTGAAGTTTTTCTTCAAGCCTTGCAAATGTGCTGAACTCATGTTTACTCCAGGAAAAAAAGAAATCATAAGAGAACTTTGTAATTATTTCGGTTGTGTCAAGCCTCCATTACAAGTCAGGCAGAATGTGTAGTTCAACTGAGTTGCATTTATGCTCACGGGAACTGCAGTATAGCAAGGGAAACCCACATGCAGGGCCTAAAGGGATGCACATCCTAGAATAACTCTGTTTGCTGCTTCATTGGAGAGATACCTGATATGGAAGAACCTATGCATCCCCGTCCTACTAAAACCGGATTGTGTGCCATGTTCAGACTCACAAATTCAAGTCCAGATCTCCAGGTAATAACTTTGACCAGGCCAGCCTTGTCAAATATCTTTAGTCAGGCTATTTTGTGTTTGATCCATGCTTTGCTTAGCCTTGGTGAAGTAAAATGAGAAACAGCATTCCTCAGTGTAGCAACCTAAACTGTACTTTAAGGAAACAAATCTGCTTGGGTGATTCCCTCTCTCACAAGGTTATTACAAGGATGAGAACATAGCAGTGTAAAGCATTGCGAGATCAGACCAAGGGTCTGTCTAGTCCAGCATTTTGGACCAAGCTGCTGCCTGCAAGAAATCCACAAGCAGGACACGGATGTAACAGCACTCTCCTGCCTCAGTGCCTCAGCAATAAGAATACCGATACTGGAGGCAATGTACAGCCATCAGGACCAGCAGTCAGTCATAGCCTTCTCTTCCATGAATTTGTTTAAAGCCATCCACTTTGGTGGCCATATTGGGGCAGCAAATTCCATAGTTTTATCTTCCTGAATCTCTCACCAATCAGCTTCATGGAATGACTTCGCTGGGTTTGAGTATTTTGAGAGAGGAAGGAAAAAGTTCTCCCTATTCTTGTTCTCCATGCTATTTTTAATCTCTGTCAAAACTTCCCTGACTCGCCATTTTGTCTAAGTGAAGGGGGAAAGTCTGGATGGCAGAAAGGACAGGAAACAGTCACCTTCGATCTCAAGGTCTGTGTCAGAACTGTCTTCCCGCACCTTCTCTTCTACAGTGTCGGTAGCGTCGGTAATAGACAGGATCTCTGCAGATGTGCTGCTCTCTGACATCTCGCCATTCTGGTCTGGAACAAGATTAATTAGATGTACTCTGTAAACGTAAATGTGAAGTCCATGCAATGTCCAACACACAACATCCTGTGCAGGAAACCACATTACACACCAGTGTATCCATTAATGAATCTTAGTGTACTTCAAGCATGCAATTTTATGCATGTTTAGACATTAAAAGCCCTGGAAATCTGAGCATTCCCCAGCCAACATAGGACTTTTTCCTTTGCAATCATGGAAGGATTGCACCCTACATAGCTTTTGCAGTCCTTCCCCATCTCTTGTGCTTTTGCAATCCTCTCCTTTATGCACTGTACTCACCAAGAAGCCGATACAGGTTGATGGATGCTTTCCGCAGCTGGTGTCAGAAGATTCATCCACTCAGTCTGCTGTCTTGGTTCAATGGGATCCCAAGGCTTGTGTCAAAGAGAATCTTGCTACCACTTCTCCCAGTGCTGACCCATACTTGCACCATCAAGATCCACTACCACATTTCCCAGAGTTTGTGGCCCTTCCACCAATAATCACGATGACCATTTTCCTTCCTTTCACAGTATTGCTTTCTTGCCCTGAGGGACTGCTAGCTCTCTTTTGAATCAGTCAGAGAAGGCATCCAGAGTTGTGCTGATCTCCAATAAGGTGAAGTGGTTTGACTGCCAATGTGCACGGGGATCAGAAGACACGTAACTAGATTCCTTTAGAGGTGATACCACTTCTCTTATCTCCCAATTCATAATTTATTTTATAATTAGGCAAAAACAGAGCTTGGAAAATGGCTTTAAGAGCAGTCAAATCGCATCCCAGCCTCCAAGCTGTGTGGTTACTAAATGCCAATTCAAATGAATTTTTTTTCAAAAGAAAAACTGTTTTGTTTTTTACAAACTCATTTCTTTTTTTGCACAGAGTACTGTTCAACCTCTTCCTCCCACTCATTGGGTTACTGACGTGTCCTTTTGGACCTACATTCAGCGCTATTCAATATTCATGTTTGACATGAGATCCACAGTTCATTCATCCATGCACAGATATATGGTGGAGGGACGAGGGCAGGGTGGAAGAGCGCTGGTTGAGGTCACTGACAGTATCGCTCATTTCAGCAGATCTGCTCTCCACAGTTAAGTTACTGGCCTGCTCAAATATGCTTTTCTTTCAAAGGAGGGTTATATGTAAAAGACAATCATAAATACCAATTCAGAATACAATGTGGTTAAAGAAACAAAAATGCAGCCAGAGGTCCCAAATAAAGACTTTATTGGGTGCTGGAAGTGGCTCAGTGGTTGGTCAATGAAATAGAATTACAAGCAGGAATGCAAGGTTGAGAAACACATGACTCTCTATGTATTGTTGGTCTACAGGTCCCATCAGACCTAGCCAACATAACCAATGGTGAGGGATCTCTTATCAGCCTCCTCAGGCACTAAGAGCATCAGCTGAGACACTCCTGGTTGTTCCACATGGACTAGCAGTCTGTTTCAACTGCAGTCGGAGTAGAGCCTTGCATGCGCATGTCATGAGTGGAGCCGGCTGGAGCTGGGGGTCAGACTGGATGGCCCAGGTGACCCCTTCTGACTCACTCTGCTTCTATGTATTGGTTTCCTCTCTGAAACTCCTTGCCTAAAAATGGCAAGCAGATTCCAATGCTTTGTTTTTGATGCCTGCTGGAGATGTATTCATTTAAAGAAGCCTTTCCTGACTAACCAGCTCTGGTTTAATTGGCATAAATTGATTTTAAATATTTTAATCCTGCATTTGGAGTTTTATTTCTTTCTTGTTATTGTTTTTCATTCAGAAAGCTTATGCAACACAAAATGGTATATATATCCTACAAATAAAGACATATTCAGTTGCAACTTAAAACATCTGGAAGGCTCTGGGCTGACAATCTTTGCAATAAAGGTTGCAACAACACCACCATCAAGGGTCAACTCCCTTCTGCAAGGCAAATATTTGTTAGTGCACCCTCCCTGGTTCCAATCTGCACAAACAACCATTCTGTGATCATCATCTCTGTAATGATACCAATGGTTTGTTCCTGGACTGCATCATTTTCTGGCATATGCAAGTACCACTTCCTGGTTTTTTGGTGAGAAAATCCTGAGAGCAGTGGATTAAAAGGGTCAGTTTCTGGACCCACACAGCCCTTGGCTACTTCCCATTCCCACAAAGATATTTCAAAGTCTCCACTCCCCTTTTTGGATTTCACACATTCGACAACAAGCCATTGTATAATTGTGATGTCTGCTGGGCTAGAGCTCTATTGACATTCTTTTGGTGATTTGTACTTTAGACACCACTCTCACCTTCATCCTCATCAAAGTCGAAGTTTAAGAAGTCCATGGTGTTGCTCATGATTCCTTTTCTGATTGTTATCAGTCCTCCCCGTGTTTTTTTACAGTCCTCTCAGTTTCAGATCCTTCTAAAACAAAATCTGAGCCATTCAACCCTAACTATTGTACATCACAAAAAATGGTTCATGACCTGTGGTGTCAGCTGGCAATGTGGAATCCCGAATGATATTGTTTCTGGTTAGGAAGACCACATTTCCAAGTCCCTGGGACTGCTGGTGTGCTGTGCATGCTGCTCACTCCTCCTTGAGTTCAGGTCACTTTAATTTCATCAATATTCCATGACCTCATCCAGACATTGTGACTCAAGATATATGGTATCTCCTATGATCACAGAGCTCTGCCTTGCATCAGGTCCTCTTTGCCGAGCTGGATCAAAATGGATAAGAATTCAGGTGAGAGATCTGGTTTCAGAAAGTCGTGCTATTGAACATCAAAGGAACAGCAAAGCCCGTGGAGGTTGTGAGAAGCAATACTCGGGTCGGTATGTCAATTTTGCAGTCTTTTGTGACCCAAGTCCAGGCTGGGTTTGTTAGTTTATTAAGTGTCACATTGGTTGGTCATGTTTTTCTTTCCACAGGAATGCCTACATTTCTGATAAAAGGCAATCTGGATGGCCAATTTACAACATAATTTGGATCCAGCATATAAAATGAGCAAGGTCACAGGAGTTCATGCCCCATGTGGTCACTTTCTTAGAATGCCTCCTGGCCGCAACATTTAGACACATCCACTGTTTCTAAGAGAGGTGCTGAACCTTGGGTCCGTGGACCAAATCTGAAGTAGCCTGGGTCCCACTGCAGCCTTCCAGAATTGACCAAATACTCCACCCATTTCTGCAGGCCACTACCCCCTTTTTCCTTTTGTGCAGTTCTCTCACATTCTCTAAGGCAGAAATATCCTCCTTAAGGTTCAGTTAGTGGTAGCAAGAGTTTTAAGCTAAACTATGCTGGCATGGTTGTCTCCACCCCCACAATAGCCTTTTCTCTGCAATTGAATTCAGTCCTTGGACTAAGAGAGCTACCTAGCAAGTCTCTGGATAAGCTTCCCAGAGAATCACAGTAGGGGTGAGATGTCCAACCAAGATCAACTTGCTGTCCTCTCCCCACAGCTGCTGCAAAGAGAACTGTGCTGCCTGCTTCCCAGAGGTCTAAAATAAAAAGAGGGTGCTCCAGTGGGTGGGAAGTGGAAGAGAAACTTGCATAAAAGGTATCCTGAGCCTGCTCCAGCTTCTAGCTTCACCCTCTGAAGCATCCTTGCTGTATGGGCTGAAAATCCATCAAGATCAGTGTGTGTGTTTGGTGGGGGCAGGAAGAACCCTTCTGGTCCTTTTCCTGCCCCACCAGCTTCAGCCCAACAGGGAACAGACATCAGGGAAGTCATGGGAGTTTGGAGTTGTACCCTAAAAGTGGTTTGACACCCTGGTCTATACACTGTTCTTTAACTCTCTGCGAAGATGGCAGACATCCAAAAATGAAGTCTAGTGTTCTTTCATTCATAAATATTGGGTTTCAATTATAGCATTATGGAGCTGAAGACTGCTTAGATTGTGCCATTTGCAAGGATAAGTGCATAGAATAAAACATGCTATCGACCAAGTCTGTCATGCAGAAGACACAAGGGACCACAGTGCACATCTTGTACTTTTTTAATTACAAGATAAAAATCTTGTAAATAAATGATGAAATATATGGTGGCAACACATCCTTCCTCCTACTTAGAATTGTGGATCAAAACATGGTCCACGTGGAAGCTGTTTAAGCATGCCTAACTTTGCATGGGATTGGGCTGTTTGTTTGCTATTCTGAATAGCTTTGAAGTGTACAGAGACTTTTTGTAGTTTATCAGTGACAGCTGGACTAGGCAGAACCATATGAAGAGAGCTTCCAAGTTGTCACTTTTGTGACCTCAGATTTACCCAGAAAGCATGTAAATAAATCCAAGGCTAAAGCCAGTGATAGGGTTGTTATTTTGGGAGGAGCAATCACGAGGACAAGCAAGGGGTAAATTTAGTACAACCAGCTCACATAGGTCAGGTAAATAAGCTAGGCCATACATGAAAGGAAAAGCAAACAACCGGAATGGAAATAGGAAGAGAAAGTAGCTACAACATTTGGAAGTCCAGGATGATATTTAGGAGCTTCTTAAGCTAGGTAAGTTAAAATATTAATGCTAAAACCTGATACACTTTTGGTGGTGGAATTAATTTTGAAAAAAAACCTGACAGCAATTTAAGTTTCAGAAACCAGAAGTCAAGAAGAAGACAGCTTTTAGTTTAAAAAATTAGCCTTCCTGATTCTTTAGATGCTACCCTCTGGCACCAGGGCCAGTGGGCTGATGCACACCCACCACCCACGGGCTGCTTATGGGCTTCCCACTGGGAAGAGCCTGCTGGAGTTGATGGACCCTCACTTTGATCTGGCAGCGTTGTTCTTCTGCATATCCTGCTCCGATTCAGAGCTTGAGATCTCTTCCTGATGCATTCACAGAAAATCACCCCAGCTTATATGAATTAATTAGAATAATGAATAATGTTTAATCCAGAATCCTGTAGTTTATTAATGCATTTCAGAATCCTCCTAAAATAGGCAAACATCTAAACGGGGGGGGGGGAATGGAAGTAAACTCAACAAAAAGGGTGCTTAAGAACTTTTCTATATTAGTGGGCAGTCTACACACCTGAGCAATAATTAATAGGGTATTATGCTGATTTACATACCCGTTTATAAACAAGGACAGGTCAAATTCCTATAGCCCCCCACCTATCAACTCGCGGTTGGATTCCCACAGGAGACAGCACGGCAGGTGCTACCACTCCAGCCACCCACAAACTTTGGGCATTGCACCCACGTCCCGCCTTTTCTCCAAAGACCCAAGGTGGCCCACATGGTGCGCGAGTGCCCCCTTCTCCTCCTGACAACCCTGTGAGGTAGGTTAAGGCTAGAAGCAGTGAGTGGCCGAAGATCCTTGAAAAACTTCATGTCCGAAGGGAGGTCTGAATCTGGGTCTCCTCGTCCCCCCGCACCTCCTTTAAGCACACTGGACGATCACACCGAAATGTTTCGCACTTGTTTCGGATTAGCAAACGCCGATTTAGAAGGGTGCGAGTTTTGCGTATGCCCTGTCACCCCCCGCGCCGGTCGCCCACCCGTTAGTTAGTGTAACGTGGGAAGTGAGTCCTCTACCCCGCTCCCAGCTATTTCCGAGCTTAACGCTTCCCTAGTCTCCAACAAAGGCTGTCCGCCGAGCGAGGAAGGCTCCGGGCCGGCGCTACGACGCTCAACGGCGCGGCCGCCCGGCCGCCAGTTCGCCTGCCAGTCCCGGGCGCCCTTCGAAGAGTTCCGTCAAGGCGGAGCTAGGTTCACGCGTGGCTGGCGGCTGGCGGCTGGCAGCTGGCAGGGGAGGAGCGGAGCGGAGCGGGCGGCATGATCGGGACGGTGCTCTGTTACGTTCTGCTGCCCCTCGCCCGGCTCCTCCGGGCTTTCCAAGGTAACCCCCCTTCTGCCTCTTCTGCGCCCCCACGCAGGGGGCGGCGTCGCGGGCCGGAGCATGCAGAGAGCGAGGCGCGGCGGGGGCTTCTCCCCGACCGCGGCGGGGAGGCCGCTCTCCTGCTGCTAGCCGAGGCCCTGGCCTAGTCTAACGTGAGCTGGGGGGGGGCGGCTGAGGCTGGCAGGAATCCCGGGAAGAGCGTAACACCTGCTCCCCACCCCCGCCGCTTGTCTGCCCCACTCCTGGGGGACGGCAGTGCTTGGAGGCCTTAACGGCCACCGACGCCCCCATCCGGCCCCTCTGGCTACCGGTCTCCCCATGTGCTCACGACGTCCCCCCCCTCCCCCCCAGGAGGTAAATCAGCATGTCAACCGCTCTGGGGCGGAATTGACAGAGGCGGCCTTCCAGGCGGGTTCCGCGAAAACTCATGTCAGAATGAAGGCACTAGTCTTCACGGTGCCGCGAGACGCTGTTGTTTTTGCTGCAACAAAGTGAACATGGCTCCCCCTCTGGAAATTGCATATGCTAGAATATCAGTTTGTAAACCTAGCAATAGTGCGCTTAAGGCCAGTATTGGATCCCGAAGGAGTGGCCCTGGGCGGGGCATGTCAGCAGGCAAATATGCGTGGTGTTTATGTAATACTTGCTTTATACACAAGCGCTGCTGTACTGTTCCAAAAGCGTTATCTTCCTGCTGTCCTTGCAACATCCCTTTAAGTGTGCTCAGTAGTAGTTTTCTCTGCATTATAGGTGAGATGAGATGGGGTGCATTATTCTTCAGAGCAGCAGAAGAAAAAATGTTGGACTATTTAGGACTGAAGCACCTTGAACTACATCTGTGCCAAATTTATTTATTTATTTATTTATGCATCTATATCCCACCTTTATCATAAAAACTTTCCAGGTCAGCTTATTTTAGCAGCATCATAGAGGCCTGCACCAGAAATGTAACATGTGGTATAAGGGCTAGGCAGGAGAAATATAATTGACATTTGTTTTAAAAGCATATTTGAAGAGATGGTGGTGGTTACAGCTTCCTTCTTCCTATCCCAGTCACAGGGCACTTGGTTGAAATGGTCCTTGTTTGGGAGAAGGTGCTCAACCACCTGTGTGGTTTGGAAGCATCTTGGCCATTTTGGTCACCTAAATTGGTCATCTGTGCCAGGATCAGGTTCTGCTGGAGGTCTCACACTACCATTGATGGTGCTGTCCTTCTGGACCATCTGGACTGGGCTCTGCAATAGTTCTGGTCTTTCCTTGTGGGCTGGCTTCAGAAGGTGAAGCTAGGGACTTATGTTTGACCCCTTTCTGAGTGGGATTTCTCAAGGCTGTCTCCCAGCATAGAACTGCTGAGTGGGTTCATTAGGGGATTTGGGGTGCATTTTCACAAATATCCTTTGCCATTGGCAGTGCTGGCTGCAGTTAATAGGACTTGTAGTCCAAAACATCTGGGGGGCACCTGGACTACTTACCCTTGCTTTAGAGATAGGCAACCAGAAAACTGTCATCCAGTTATTTTGGATGACAATTTTCAGAAGTCCAATCCATTGGCTTTGCTGACTGAGCCACTGAGGAATTGACATCCAAAGCATCAGATGTATCCAGGAAACATTGCCTTGGACCACTTTCTTTTTCCAGCCATGGCAAAACCTGAAAGGTTGTCCTACTGTGCCAAGCTTTACTCCCTCTGAATAGTGACATATAATCTGTTGTTCCACTGAAATCATTTCACTACATCTAATTTTACTATAATAGGTAGCAGGTCCTCTTTTATCAGCATCTGGTGTAAAGTGTACATATATGTATTTATATATTTTTGGGCAGATGCTTTCTTTACATGTCAAAAGAACGTGCTTCTGGCGAAGAGCCCGGCCACCCATATAGACGGTCTCTCTGCTCCTGCCAGCGGCAAGCCGGTTGCAGAGGAGCAGCAAGCCCTGCTGCAGCAGTGGCTGGAGGAAGGAGCTGGCGGGCTACACACCAATGATAGTACTTCAGAATCGGAGAAAGGTTCCGCCGTTTTGGCTGCCGAGTGGCAGGAAGGCTCAGAACTACTCATGATGAGCTTAAGTGACCTGAACTTGCCACCACAATCTGGGGACCAGGAGCAGCAGCAGCAGCAGCAGCAGAATGAGGTCCAGACTGAACTACCTGCAGGACTCCAGGCGTTTGTAGAAAGCACACTGGCAAACTTACCAGTGGAGGGAAGAGCAGCCCTGGGAGACAATGCTCTGTGGACAGCTGTAAGGACGCAGGATGATCCTCAGATGGTTGATGCTGCCCCCCTGTCCACAGAAGTCTGGATTGAGGACCCTGCTGTCTTAGCCTGGAGTCCTGCACAAGAGACAGAGGTGGTGTCAACAGAGGGAGTTCTGTGGCCTTTCCAGAGCACTGGTCAATTTCAGCCACTCCCACTAGAGATACCTTATCATGGTAAGTATGGTGGTATTTCATCTTGTTTTTCACCACACTCTTAGGGCACTGCTGGTAGTATAGTGGTAAAACTTGGAAGTGCAGGTGCTTATCATGGCAATCTCTACAGCCATACTGCCAGGAAGAAATTAAGCATTCAGGCAGCTGCTATTGACAAATCAGTTCTACCAGTGTTGTTTCTACCAGAAGTAGGTCTTAGATGAAGCTCATGGGTCTTAATTCCCCTACAAGAACAACTCTTGGAAAATATTTTGCATTACAACTGGGAGCAATATAGCCTTGGAAAAATGCATGCTTTGAACAACTGGGAGGATATCAGCTAAGCTTACAGGAAGGAGAATTTTGAGGAGGGTGGCATCCCCAGGAATATGTGAAATAGGCACTCCTTTACCTGTGAGGGAATTTCTGTATTGGAGGTGCCATTTTTCATCTTTAAAAATGTGTACTTTTTTTAGATTTCTAACCTGCCTCTTTAGCCCAAATGGCTCTCATTAAATGCCAAGGTATATTTTACCAGTTCAGGTGATTTGACTTTTAGCTTCGAACCAAATGTGACATGGGATCAGGATGCTGTAATCAGGATCTCCTATTGTTTTTTTCTTTTAAGTTAAAAGAAATTGTGTGGACTCTTACATTAGATTGGGGCTGTTGGGAAATGGAGTTGCAGATTTTTCTATCTAAATACCCCAATGCCACCCTCACCACCTGGAATATTTTCCTTAGTTCCAGGTGTACCACAGAGAAGCATTTTCAACACTGACTTAACCGCTTCTGCTCTTTGTCCTTTTGCAGAGATTTTGTGGAGAGATTGGGAGGATCTTTCGGCTCAGGCCTGCATCCCGGACCTGGGCTCTGAGGGATTCTTTGAATTCAGGGTCATGTCCTACAACATTCTGTCCCAGGACCTGATAGAGCAAACCCCTCATCTTTACATGCATTGCCATCCAGACATTCTGAACTGGACCTATCGTTTCACAAATCTCTTGCAGGAGATTCAGCACTGGGATCCGGATGTGAGTAAAACTTGAACCCATTGCCTTTGTTAAGTATGAGCACCTTGCCTCAAGCTAGTTTCCCTACCAAACGTTTACCACAATTTTGTGCCAGTTTTGTGCCATAAATACTGAGCTTTTGTGTGGCTACCAAAAGTGTGAAAATGATATATTCCCTTGGAGGGGGCTGTGTGAAGGTAAAAGATGCACATTCTCATATCTTCTCTAAATATGCCAAATTTTATGTTCTTTTATGCCACTAAACCTGAGTTTTCTGCCACCACCCATAGCTGTGCATTAATGTATCAAATTGGACAAATTGGAGTTAAGTTGGACAAAAAATTACATTCCCATATCACCTCTAACCATTTCTCCAAGTTTATGTTGTTTTCTGCCACAAATCTTAGGTTTTTACTCATGTCTTGCTGAGTTCAGTGGGCTCCCATCCTTGTGAATAAGGGGATAATTTTAAAATAACTGTTTCAGTTGTTCTGGTATTTTAATAAATTAGCACAAACCTGTGTGGATTATAGCCCCGTTTACAACTCAAAGATTTTTGGCATAAAATTAGTGCAAGACCTTGGCACTGTTTTGGAGGTGATGCCATGATACTGGGTTTAGTATGTATTAACTATGAACCAGTATATGATGTATCAGTTTATAGGTGGCAGCACAAAACTTGGGATTTGTGACTCAAAATAGCACAAAACTGGAATAAGTTTGAAGGAGGTATTAGTTGCCGGGGGCTAGGAGTGTTCTTACTTAGCAGACCTGGACCCTTCTGTATTTGCTTAATGTGCACCTGAGACACTTTCACTCAGCCAGTGTTTGTTAATAAAACACCAGGGGCCCTCCACTGCAAAAAGTGCAATCTGTATCATCCTCACATACAACCCACTGCCAGACTTTGAGTCTGGTATGTTTTTGAAATGGCTGGTTTAGGGGTTCACCTGTCAAGGGCTGCTGAGAACAATCTGACATCTTGGTAGAACCATTTCATAGTTGTGAGCATCTCTGGTTTCAGGCTCCCGCCTTTTCAAAACTCTACAGCCTGAGGTACCCTATTTGGCTGACATTGCTTGACTGCATAACGGTGCACAGTCCCAAAGGATGGTGTGTGCATTTCCACTCTAGGACAAGTGGAATCAGCAAAGAGAAAATACTAAAATGAAGAAATCTTTTCTGTTGTTCTGCCTTGGACTGGCAGCTGCTAAGTGTGTTCTCATTCTGCCCCCCCCCCCCTCCAGGTTCTCTGTCTCCAAGAAGTTCAAGAAAATCACTTTTGGGAGCAGCTGGAGCCAGCACTTATGATGATAGGTATCACCTCCTTTTGCTGCTGGGATAAATTTTGAAGCACAGGTGCTCAGCAGGAGAGTCCCCATAGCCACAGTTGCCAGGAAGATTCTGCAAATGCCGGCAATTATGCTGATCTGTGTTTTTGCGTGCAGCATAATGCTCAGTTTATTAGTAACACCTGATAGTCATAAAATAGCTTGCTAACAAAGGGTAAAGTGATTAATGTGTTGGACTTCGGCTAGAAAGAAGTGAGATCACATGAGAAAAGGAAAGAAGAGGGACATAAGATGACTCCTGACAGCATAAGACCACTGGCACAAAGTATTCTAGGAGGTTTTTTCCCAGCCTTCATGGAGAAAGAGTTTATTTCAGTGTCAGCTACCCAATTCTAGTAGTTCGTGTTGCCAACAGTGAGTTTGGTCTTAGTTTCCCATTCAGGACCAGGCTACCCCACTGCATTGCAACAAGGAAAGCTCATACCTATATATTGTTGCTGGGTAAATAACCTTTCTTTGCTATCAATTGAGGGTTGCTGGTCACCCATACACAGCCTTCCCCTTCATGCAGAATCTTCAGCTCTCCTCCCTTTCTCCACATGTGTAAATGGAATGGCTGAACCTCCTTTCCCTGCACACTGGGATCCCTCTGCAAGTGGGTTTTCTTCCTGTATCAATCCTTTGTCTCTCCTGAGACAAAGAAAAGCACCCCCCTCTCTACCCTGGCAGGAACAGATTGTGCAGTCTGCAGGGAATGTGGCCTGCTGTTCTGCATGTAGAAAGTCCCAGATTCAGTCTATAAGTGGGCCAGGAAAAACACATGCCTGTTGTAAACACAAGCCAGAAGAATAAGATGTATATATTATGTCTGACTTGCAGAGACTGTCACACTGTTCCTATGCACCAGGTTCACTTGGAGTTCAGTGGGTCTTACTCCCATTGTATGGTGGGGTTGCAGCCTGAATTGCTGACCATGGCTCTGATAAGGGCTTTTGTTGTTTGGCCAGGCTTTACCTGCATCTACAAGCGACGGACAGGACGCAAGACGGATGGGTGTGCAGTCTGCTACAAACAGAGCAAGTTCCAGTTGATCAGCGCCAGCCCTGTTGAATACTTCCGACCTGGCTTGGATATCCTCAACAGGGACAATGTGGGCCTAGTGCTGCTGCTGCAGCCTGTGCTTCCGGAGACCTTGGGAGGCAAGGCAATCAAGCCCTTATGTGTGGCAAACACTCATGTGTTGTACAACCCTCGTCGGGGAGATATCAAGCTGGCCCAGATGGCTCTACTCCTGGCAGAGATTGACAAGACTGCAAAGATGGCAGATGGCAATTACTGCCCTGTCATCTTATGTGGGGACCTTAACTCTGTGCCTGATTCGCCACTGTACAGATTCATCCGGAATGGCCAGTTGTACTACCATGGGATGCCTGCCTGGAAGGTAAGCAGAGAAAGTGACTAGGAAGCAACAGCTATTGGCTAGCTTCAGCTCTTGAGTGTGCAATTCATGCAATCTCTGAGGATTTAACATCTCTTGAGGTTACTGTTGGCTGTTCTTAGCACTGTCTCTATTTTTGTGTCTGGTCAAATTCTTCAGCAAAACTGAACCAATTAATTTCTGGTGAAATGAGAACTCAATTATTTATTTGGTCATTGACCAGCCAATAAGTAAAACACAAAATTACAATTAATTACAAATAAGAAAATGCAGTACTAGTGAAATTACGATAATTCAGATAAGAAAATAAATGCATTCTGGTAGAACTTAACAACATTTAGGATTAATTCTATCATGCACTGTACAAGCTACCGAACAGTATTTGGCAATTGGATTGATCAGATAAAAGTAACTTAAGATTTAAAAAAATGGAGTAACCAGGATATTTAGAAAGGAATGGGGATAACAGTGAAATGAGAACTTTGAATCTGTGTGTGCCTTCATGGAAGTTTCCTGCGGTGTCATAGTGCATAAAAGGGGTCATGCTGGATCAGACAAAGATCCATCTAGTCCAGCATTCAGTTCACACAGTGGCCAACTAGTCACACACTCCAAAAACACAAGCAGGATATGAGTGCAACAGCACATTCTTGCCCATCATCCCCAGAAACTGGTGCACAGAGCCCATCATCCCCAGAAACTGCCTCTGATACCACACACAGCACAGAGCCATGAAGACCTGCAGTCACTGAAAGATTTCTTATCCATGAATTTAGCCAGGATCTGACCAAAGACACAAAATAGAGACAGTGCTAAGAACAGCCTGCAGTAACCTCAGTCTAACCTTCCTCACAGTTTTTGCTGTTAGGGTGAAACGGAGTGGAGAAGAAGCTTTTGAGCTGCCTTGGGTTCCTTGCAAGAGGAAGAATGGTGCACTGTAAATGTAATGCAGTATATAGTAATAATTAAATTCATCCAGATTGGTGGTGATTGCTACTACTTTTGGAAGAAAATTCCACAGTTTAACTATGTGTTGTGCGACATACTTGCTTTCATCTGTCCTGCATCTCCTACCAGTCAGCTTCATAGGATGACCTCTGTTGCATTTTGGCACAACGGAGAAAAATGTCTTCCCAGACTAGCTAGCTGGAACTGTCGCATACTTAGTATTTGCTTTCAATGGGAGCCACTTTATGGCCTAAGTAGGGCATGGCAGCTCTAGTCATCATCCGAAGAACATAAGAGCAGCCGTGCTGGATCAGACCAGCGCTCCATCTGTTCGTACAGTAGGCAACTGGCTGCTCATAGGAAACTCACGAGGAGAACACAAGTGCAACAGCACCCTTCCGCCCATGATCCCCAATAAATAGTGTACACTGTGGTTGTGAGCCACCCAGAGGTGCTGTTGCACAATTGGGCAGCATATCAATGAGACAGACAGACAGACAGACAGACAGACAGACAGACAGTAGTACAAAACAGGCAGCTTGAGAGATGGACAAAGCAGGCTCAGAAATATGAAAGAATTAATATCAAAGCTTTTCAGGAAGTTAAATCATGATAAGATAAGCAAAGTACCAGACCATTGAAAATGTCTGCATAAACCATAAAGTATGATCAGGCAAGAAAACATGGAAGTGCTGAACTCCAAGTATATGTGAACTCCAAGATGTATGCATTTGATGCATGGTGAGCACTGTTGGGGACTGGTGCATTTAAGATGATTGGACCTGAAATCTCCTTCTGTCCCTGAGACAAATGCACATGATGCTATACCTCCTTGTGCCATGCAAAGCCTATTTCAGTGATACTGAGCTTGACTGTACTGGTCATTTGTTTTTCTCTTTCTGTGCCCTTAGTGGAGATGTAAAATGCTCTGATTCCCTAAATCGGCCTTCCCCAGCTTAGTGTTTCTCCAAAGGTGGATAGGTTAGAGAAGGTTGCTGCAGCTGCATGGCTGCTGGCTTTCTGACTTGCTTTAACATGGCCAGGTACCTGCTGTCAGTGGCTGACCGTGGCTTGGAAAGGCTCTTTCTGCCTCAAAAGACTTCGTGGGCATTTGTGTTCTGCCAATTTTGCCTCTGCAGGTGTCTGGGCAGGAAGAATTGTGTCAGAACCCACATCAGCGGAAACTGCTGACTCCTCTCTGGCCTGCTAGCCTGGGTGTAACAGATGGCTGCCAGTACATCACTCTTTGCCAAAGCAAGAAGTCAGGTGAGTTTCATGGTGAAAAATGAGGACACGTGTATCACTGTCCTGTCCTCTTCCATGAACGGACTGTTTTCCAACAGCCTAGGGTCTTTGGGCTTTTCAGTGCATGCCCACACATGCAGGCACACACCACTAACACTTTAAGCACTTCTGATAACTCTTGATGAGTTTTAGGCTGCCATTCTAAACCCACTTACTAGGGAGGAAGTCCCATTGAAATCCATGCTCTGGTCATCTTCCAGTTGGACTATTGTAATGTGCTATACATGGGGCTACCCTGGAAAATAGTCTGGATACTTCAATTGGTACAGAATAAAGCTACCAGGCTGCTTACTAGGACTGGCCAATGTGACCACTTAACACCAGTCCTATGTCACCTGCACTGGTGTTAACATTGACGTAGGAAGCTCTAAATGCCTGAATTCTGAGATCTTCTACTGAGGTCCTTCTCCGGGAGCCCTCTTTGAAAGAGGCTAGAAGGGTGGCTACCTATGGGAGGGCCTTTCCTGTGCTGGCGCCCCAGCTATGAGACCTGTTCCCCAAAGAGGTGTACCTGGGACCAATGCTTTATTTCAGTGCCAGGCTAAAACTTTTTTATTCACCCTGTATTTTGATGGTTAACGGTATTGGATTTTACTTGATTTTTATATATATTGAAGATTATGTTTTAGTTAATGTGTTCTTATGGTTTTGCTTCTGTAAGCCATCTAGAGAGCCATCTTGGATATTAGATAGGATAAAATATTGGAAATAAATATATAAAGAAGCACACACATTATTATGTTGTAAGTTATCCATTATCAGAGGGAAAGCTATTAATGATTCCCTGCCCTTTTACACCAGCTTATATTCTGGCCTGGCACACACACATTAATTTTTGGGATGCAGTCCAACCCATCTGGAGGTCTCTGAGGTGCGAAAGACTGGGTTGTCAAGGATGTAAGTCTGTGATTGATGCTTGTGGAGATGTGTCCAAGGCTCTAGGCTTCTCATGTTTCATCTGTTCCATTTCTCACTATCTTGAAGCAACTTTTAAGTTTTTGGAAGAGTGTGTATGATCTGCACCCCCAACCCTAGGATTAGGTTCCAATTCTCTTTTTTTATTGGCAACTTAGTATTTGAAATAGAGTCTGCACAGCCCACAGGATGCAGTCTGGACTTGCACCTCTGCCTTGTAGATGTAATAATAGCAAACAGTTTGCAGTCTGAGGACACACCTTGACTATTTCCTTCTGTTTCTCTCCTTCTGGTCTGATTTCTTCCATGCAGATAGGCGCAAATACAGCCGTGACTTCCTTCTTCAGTTTCGTTACTGTGCTGCTGCCTGCGAGCGGCCTGCAGATTTGATCCTTTTGGAAGGTGTGACAGATGCAAAACCAGGTATCCAGACACAAGTTTCACCATGACACTTTGATTTCCTATAGCTATACCTCAGTGTAAGAGATGAGATAATGGCTTGAGATGGCCCAGAAGCATCAGCATAATCCTCGTTTCCTGTGGGCCTTGTACAGTAAGGGTGGGGAACTTGGTGTCATCCAGAGGATTCTGGATTGCAATTCCAGTCAGCCCAATCCACCATGGATAATGTTGAGGGATGGTGGTAGTTTCAGTCCAACACCTGGAGGGTCATGCTTTCCCCATCCAAGTTGTAAGGGTTTCACCAAAGCCCTTCTGTTTCTGAAGGATATCAGGCTAGCAGACCTATGCCTACTCTATGAAATTTGATTAAAAGGTCCACGTGGAATTCTCCCATGCTCTCTGCTCAGAAGTGCTAGTTTGCTGCTCCATGGATTGGAGATGAGGAATTTGTGACCCTCCAGATGTTGGTGGATTGCTTCATGTGTAAATTGAGAAATACTCAGGTTTATTTACATTTCGCAGAAGGCACTGCAATGAATTTTTCTTCCAAATTGCCTCAAATAAAAATCCCCTCTTCAAAAAAGTTGCACTCTGGTTACAATTAGTAGTAACAAATCAGTTGTTCCATTTTAATTACCATTAATTTACACTGCATGTGTGTGCTTGCGCACATGTTCCCCACTTCTATCTTTCCCTCCTGGAAAAATCCTTCACTTCATGTAATTCAGCCTAGAAGAAGAGCTTCCAATTGCAGTTTTATTTTTTCTATGCTGTATTGCTGTGTACGGGAATGGAGGGGAATTCCAGCATATGGAGAGGGTTAACCTATAATCCCTCATGAAAATTGCTCCCTGCATGGAATGTTAACTGTCATAAATGCTTTCAAGTTGGAAATATTCAAGGGAGCCGACACTGGACACCGAGACCACTGTTTCCGTGTTGCCTAGCATTGTGGGATGGAGGGGCAGCATTTGATTAGGCCACTTCTGGTGGGTTTGGCCCCAAAGCATACAAGTTTGATTGTGTGTTTGATCTGCATTTTTGTTGTTGCTTTGCTGCTCTGCAGACTGTCCTGCACACTGGCCAAAGGAGCTCACTGTTGTGAACAACTCTGATCCGGAACCGTTTTGTTCAAGGTAACAGGAAAAGGGTTTGAGTGCTATAAATGTGGCAAGGCCTTAACCAGGAACATGGAAGGAAAGCAGTCCTACAACTTGAACATGCACAGAGCTGCGCTCTAAAGAATGCTGGTCAGAATCGACACAGCTTTGGCTGCAAGAGTTTGTCCGATCCCAGTCACAAGGCTCTTGCTAGCATGGAGAACTCCATGTGCCTCTGCTAGCTTTTCCAAGGAGAGGGCGCTTGCTTGCCTGAGACAGGTGCTTGCTAGAGAGTCTGCTCACCCCCAGGATGTCGCGAACTTACTGGATTCGGGCTCCCTGCTCCACTTCACCTGAGCCACAGCAGGATTTGGGCCCCAGTAGCAGCAGATTCCTCCTGAAATGAGTCATTTCTCAAATATGCTCCTGTAATTTTCGAGTTAATACAATTTTACCACTGTTGTCTAACTCTGGGGGAAAGTTCCTGTATTTTACAAGGCGCTTTTCCTCAGGATTAGACAGCAGAGGCAAAGCAAATAGCTGTCGAAGGTGGCCCTTAAAGCAGGATTGGGCAATGTGTGGCTTCCCAGATGTTTTGGCTCACACTCCCATATTCCTCTAGCAGTGGCTATGCTGGCTAGGGGTGATGGAGTTGTACACCAACAGATGGAAGAGCCACACATTCTCCTGCCTTAGAAGGTACACAAAGCATTTCTGCTGAAAGACTGCTAGACTCTGTGTTGCTGAAGGGAAGGGCTTCAAGAGAGGATTTTGCATACCTGGCTTCCAGGGTCCAGAGTACACATACCACTAAATGCGTCTTTGTATCACCTTTCGTTTTAGAAATGTGCAAGTAGAGGGGATGATACTGTCTGGTTATCTGGTAGGCACTTTCCTTCCAATGCAGAAAGCATTGAAGCAAAAATAGATATTTTTCTGGAACGCCCTAGTTTTCTCCATAATCCAGCGTATGTTGGCAATTTGGTCTCTATTTCCTCTGCGAAACCCCACTTGTACTTCTGGTAGTTCACAGGCCACATACTGCTGAAGCCTAGCTTGTAGGATTTTGAGCATAACTTTGCTAATATGTGAAATAAGCACATTTGTGTAGTAGTTTGAACATTCTTTGGCATTGCCCTTCTTTGGGATTGGAATGTAAACTGACCTTTTCCAATTCTATGGCCACTGCTGAGTTTTCCAAATTTGTTGGCATATTGAATGTAGAACTTTAACTGCATCATCTTTTAGGATTTTGAATAGCTCAGCTGGAATACTATAACTTCCACTCACTCACAGAAAAACTCATTTACAGCAAAATAAATGAATACAACTTAACATGCCACCTAGTTTGACCCTTGATGTATAGCACTGGCATTGACTCCTGTGGCTTTTTCAAAGTAGAGCAGCAGGAGGAGCAGGCTGTGAGTACTCATTGCACATTGAGTACTCACAGTACGTTTTCTTGCTTCTGAATCTATTCATCCAACTTCTTACCCTCCTGCTCCCGTCTTGCTCTTTCTTCTGTGCAGGTATCCAGGTAATATTCACCACAACCTCAACCTGACCTCTGTGTACAACCACTTCCTGCCTGAGAGAGGCCGCCCTGAGATTACAACCATGCCAATGGGTGCAGGGGCCACAGTTGATTACATCTTCTACTCAGCAAAGCCAGTCAAGAATCATCATGATGAATGTAAGCGCAACAAATACAGGGCCCAGCCTTATTGGGATACTGGTTCAACCTTGAACATGGGGCATCCTGCGGGCATCCTGTGGGGCATGGCAGAGGTGATCCTTGCCTTCCTGTCCTGCTCCACATTTTCACTAAATGTGCTTTTTTGCTCATCTAGCAGGAACTTCTCAGAGGGTCAGGGAAGAGGCTGGAGCGACTGTAGATCCCTCATATCCAGGCCTCTCCAGTTTCCTTCTCTTCCTGCCCACGGAAACACCTGGCTTTCCCCTCTCTGGAGTTGCTTTCTGAAGCTTGGAGATCAGCCAATGCACTGGCTGCAAGGATAGGAGGGGGTGGGTTGGAGCTCTGACCTCCAGCTCCGCAGCCCGAGTACTGTCTCTGTCCTTGGATCTGGGAATCTGAACTGTCCTGTGGCACTTCAGACACTGTCTGAAGTGCCCAGAGGATGCCTCCTTAAAACTCTTGGAAGACTGCAGTTAGCAGTCCTGAGAGCCATGGAAGAGAAAGCTCTGGTGTCTGCTTGTCCTGATGACTGTACGCTCCATTGTCAGAGGCAGTAGGCCTGTTGCTGGGAAACGCAAACAGATGGTGCTCTTGCACTCGTGTTCTGCCTGTGGCCATCCCACAGGTCACGAAGTGGACAGAACACTGGACTAGACAGGCCTTTTCAATTCTTATGCTTCTGTGGCCTGTCCATCTCAGCACTGCAGTGAGGGGGTGGGGGGGGGAGGTATTCTGAAGTGAGCTGCCATGGTGATTGCTTGATCTGATCCACCTTTGCTGAGAATTTTTGGAACTCAGTGCCCCTCATTCCCAGCCAGGAGTCACCGTCTCCAGGATGCTGATAGGTTCAGGAGGATAGGCTATAGGCCATCTGGGATCTTCCCAATTTGGGAGGGATGATGTCAGCTTTTTTTTTTTTATTTTAAAGAAATTAAATAATACTGGCAAGGGGCTGTGTTGTGTATGAGTCTATAGCAGCCTTCCCCAAATGTGTGCTCTCCAGATGTTTTGGACTATAGCTCCCATGCTGGCTGGGAATGATGGGAATTGCAGTCCAGCACATCTGGAGAGCATCCAGTTAGAGGAGGGTATTCCATATATTTGTATATTGGGGAAAAGTGCCCTTGACTGCTTTGGTACCGGTGTGTATTTTTCGCCCCCTGGCACATTCACTGCAGTCCCTGCATGTGGTAGAATATAAGCTGCTTTCAAAGTCTCCACATGGGGTTGAGCTTCCCTTGTCTTACATGCGACTCTAATTCCTCTTCAGGCCGCAGGATGTACCAAGATGGAGCCCTCAAGTTGCTCGGCCGCCTCTCCCTCCTCTCTGAAGACATCCTTTGGTCTGCAAACGGCCTGCCAAACCCTTTCTGCTCATCTGATCACCTCTGTCTTCTGGCCAGCTTTGGCCTCGAGATCTCTGACTTCTGATCATGTGCCAGAACTCCAGGATTCTCACGAGAGTTAGTCTGAGAAAATCATGCTGTTTTTGAAGTTTGCATCAGCTAACTCAAAAAAAAAATTCTTTTTTTCTCTCTTCTCTACCCTCACCCTTCCCTGTTTTGGAGATACCCTTGGCTTTTCTCTCCTGTGCTTTTTCATGAGGAAATATCCACTAGGCTTACCCTGTAATGCTGCAGTCTAGTCTGAGCTTCACTGCCAGTTTATGCCTGCCTTTACTCTGGCTGCTACACTAACCTTTCAAAAGGCATCTTCCAGCAAATGATTAGATGGTCCTTCTCTGCTCGGTGACTATGCTTAGCCACCATGATCTAGAAGGCAGATCCTATAGGGCAAAGGCTTTGGCTAGCAGGATGAGAGCTGATTTGACCTGAGACTTTCCCTCCCCTCTCCCCTTTTTACATGCATTATTTCCAGAATAGTTGTGGTGGGGCTGATTTCAGCAAGCATGCAAAATCACTTTTTGGAGGTGCTGCTTCTGCTCTTAACTTCCAGGGACAGGTGCTTGCTGGCTGGCATGGCCTTCCAACCCCCTTGGAATCACCTGACCATACAGAGACGTGTTCTTTTCGGATTCCACAACAAGATTGCATGAACAGCAGAGACATTTGAAACCCTTCTGCATTTGTTGCAGAATTCTTTTTCTCTCAATCCTTATTGCATTCTATTCTCAGGTCTTCAGAAAGCTTTTGTTACTCTCTGTCTCTTACCCATCGGGATGGAATTTTGTGCCTCAAGTCAGAAGGACGGATTGGAAAAAAAATGGTAGAAAAATGGGAGGAAAGCTGCTTTGTTTACAGCTTGGAAGCCACAGCATGAAGTCCCTCAGCTGGGCCTGGCCTGGCAGTTGCTGCTCATTCTCTCTAATCATTGGGTTGCAGCTAAAGACTAGTGGTCAAACCTCTAGATAACCCCACCCATCTGTTCTTTGGTGCACAGAACCCACATGAATTACATCAGCTGTGTGTGAGCCATGCTGCAGTGTTTATCTCAGAAAAGAAAATGCATTGGGAATTTTCAGTATTTTTAATGTTTTGTTAACTTTGCAAAATAAAATTTTATAATTTCAGAACAGTTGTAAACTTAAGCTGCTTGAGATGGGGTTGTGGAGGGGAGAACACAGGACGAAGCTGTGAAGTGCTTCATTGGAGTTGTCTGTGGGAGGAGCCCTCTGGTGGATAGTGCGGGCAATGCTTAGGATACAGGCGGCTTCAGTCTCAAAATATTTTCTCAGCAAAGCATCATCCAAAAATGACAAATGCTATGTGCCTTTCCAAAGAGATTATCTCAGTACAACAGCTCCTTAAAAAGGCCCACAGCTCTGCTGGCTGGGGAATGCTGGAAATTGTAGGCTTTTTTTCTGGCTAAACATGTACAATTGTACCCTTAATGACTTTGTAACTTAACAGCAGGGGAGGGCAGAAGATCTACGAGGCCCGCTGGCTCCAAAGAGTTAATAGTAATCATGTTGAAAAGAAAAAAAAACTTTTGTTAACAAAATTAACCTTTTGTTAATTGTTCATGTTTCAGCTTTAGTGCTCATTACATGAAAAACGGGCATTGCTTAGCTACCTGTACATGTCTTGGGCTTTACAGCTCAGCTGACTGATAGTTTATGTTAGATTAACTGACCAGTAGCAACTCATATTTGGATTAGCTTTGTGTTCAAGGCAGCTTCATACCATCTTTTGCATCTGATGCCATCCCTAAAGTTGCACCTGGCTATAGGTAGTGGACTTTGATGCTCCAATAAAAAAAGGCAAATCTGTGCACCTACCTGTTTTTCTAGATTTGTTTAATAAGACACAGAATTTAGCATTCTGTGAATCTCATCTTTTGCTTTAATTTTGTAGCACTTAATGGAGATCGGGGCGGGGGGGGGGATGTAAAGGCAGAGCGGCACAGTGAGTTTTGGATCTAGGCCGCAAGTTCTACATCCCTACCTTAAACTGTCAGCAATATTGCTAGAGCAACTTGATTTACAAATGCTCTCTCCACTTGCTGGCTTTGCCTGAAGACTGCAGTATATTGATTTCTCTTTCTGGATGGATATAAATATAATATGTATTTTCCTCCTCACCTGCTTTGCAAATCATATAGCTAGCACAGATGGGAACAGCTCCTCCCCCTCCCTAGGACACCTTTCCTGATGCACAGCATCCCTTCAGGAATCTGGATTGGCTTCCACAGGAGAAACAGAAGATGTGCTCTCAGGAGTTGTTTCATTGCCAAGTCAGCCCTCTTTAAGTGTTACTTCTGTGTTGTGGTCTAACATTCCTCTGAAAAACATAGCAATTTCTAGAGTTTGAAGAGATCTTGTCCCTACATGCCTTGGCAGGGAGGGATATCAGTGTTGCTGGCCTAAACCATCCTTTAGTCCAACCAAAGAGCTCAAGTCTGAGTCCAGTTTCAGCCAAGAACACTTTGCTTCACAGTACACTTATTCTCCCCCTCCATCTTTCTTTTCTTGAAAGAATAAACACGACTTAATAGCCTAGTTCTGTTTGCTCCATTTTGCCCTACATTCTGCACCTGAGAAGTTCAGGATTAGGGGGCTCCTTGCAAGTTCCCAACCTTTTTCTGCTTGCCATGCTTTTATTGAGGGTTATTCTAGTTTCCTCCACTAATTCAAATCTTCTCTGATCATTTCAGAATTTTCAGCTGCAGCTAGCATGCAGATGGTCAGGGATACTGAGAAGTAAAGTCTCAAACATTGCAGTGGGAGGACCAGGATAGAGAAGGATGATTTACTGCCATTTGTCTAGGCTCTTGTCCTTAGGGAAAACAATGCAAACTATTTGAGCTTCTAGCCTCTTTTGACTTGCACCTCTCGTGTATCATTGGTACTTAAGAGACACTCTTTGTCAAACAGCAGCCTAATATACTGCTTCTCCTTCAAGGCACCATGCTGTGGCACCCTTCACCTTTCCTCTGTGTACACAAGGTAAAACTGAAATGGGCCCAGGTCTGGTGTTTCTCCAGTTTCCAACATCTCAAAGATGATGCCCTGCCTATTTTTATTCTGAGTTTCCTCAGTCACAGGAAAAGGACTCTGCTGTTTGAATTTTTGCAGCACACTGGCCTTTTGCTTGGATAGGGCAATTTAGTTTCAGAAAAGATAAGCATTTGTTAGGCTGACTCTGATCATTATTATCATCATCACACTGCATTTATATCCCACCTTTTTTCTTCTTGAGAAAAACTCAGGGTGGCTTATGTAGCTCCACTTTACTCTCATCCAGTTAACTTCATGGTAGAGTGAGGACTAAAACCTAGATCAGGATCTCCTGAATTCCAGTCCCACATTCCAACCACTACACCACACAGCTCTCACAAAGCCCTTCACACACTTTCTGTGGTTAGTGTCCCAGAGTTACCACTTGCCAGGTGAATGATAATACAAGCTAGCAAACAGTTGCATGAAAGGCCCAAGGTGCCCAAAGAAAGCAGAGCTTAGCGGTACCCTTTGTGATTGCACCTGCCAACATCAATGAACAGTTAGCTTTATCCCCTTTCAAGGTGTAAATAATTATGCAGAAAATAACTTTGGTTGGTTGGTTGTTTTACTCTGAAAAAGAATTGGGGAGAAATACAGAACTGGGAAGCAAGAAAAACTAAATCTAAGAAAGGTCTGTGTGGTGTCTACTTAAGGTCACAGATCCACAAGTGGCACCAGTTTACACAAAAGACACACATGATAGGCCAAGAAAGAAAACCAGCTGTTTTCAATACAATACTTTTATGCTAATGGCTCTGAAAACAAAATCTAGCTGCTAAAACCAGCATTTAATACTGCTTGTGTTGGAAGCAAACCCACAAGTCCCATTAGCACCATCTTGTTCCTGACAAATCAGGCAGAGAATTTCTGCTCCACAGAGCTTGGAGGCAGTCAGAGTTGTTTGAGCCAGGTGGTCAACGAATGGGGGGGGGGTGGTTGATGGATAAATGAGACATCTGCTACTGAGATCATGCTTCATTGAGAATTCCCTGAGGAGCCCAGCTTAGCTGACTTTCTGGCCTATGAACAGGGCAGGAACAGCAGCCAATGACAAGGAAATGAGTCACAAATTCCTTGTATATATCTCAACAGAGGGCAAATGTAAACCTAGCCCTGCACAGAAGGCTGGGGGCAATAGATACAATGGGTCTCTGTAGCCCTCTAAGGCAGGTTTAAAAATCTGAAAACTGTTCCAAGGAACCTCAGGGTTAGCAGAGGTCCCTCAATGAGAAATCAGCAACAGCATGAAAGCTGCCCAATCAGAACACACGTTTCCCCACAGTAGGCAGCTACAGGGAGGTATATTGTGATATACAGTTCGTGAAAGGCAGTACCCCATTGGTCCAGCATGTATGTCCCAAGACCTTCTCCAGCACTTCTGCAGCACACAGGACTTCTCTGACACAAGGCTGCGTGCGAAGGCAGAACAGGCAGGAGCTCAGCACTGCGTTAGCAGAGATGAAGTTCCCCTGAATCAGGGTTGGCTGCACTGACCAGATCCAGTGAGTTTGTCCATTCATGATGCAGGCTGATTGATACTCAAGAATGGGACAGGCACGAACGGAGATATTGACCAGGCAGATGTACAGACAGTGAGAATGGACATTACACCACAGAAACAGGTAACTAGTTGGCCATGTGAAGTCAAAAGGAAGGTCAAAAAACCAACAGCAAATATAGTGGACACACAACATTTGCCTTGTTATAAAGTAGACCTGCTAATACTGACACAACTACAGTGCAAGTGAAGTCACAGCTCAGTTTAAAACACCATTGCATCAACTGCTGTGTTAGCTTTGGAGGGAGCAGCATTTCACCAATAGAAATAATCATGGGAGAAAAAACCTGTACTTCATACCACCCTTTCACCACACTTCTCCTTGCAGGCTACTCAGAGGTGAAGCTTTTTGTTCCTGCCATGCTACTACAGTGTGTGCAGCTCCTTCCTTTCCTTTCAAGGTTGTGGGAAGCATGACTATGTCTGCCCTCTTCCAGTCTCTTCCTATTTTTCCTATTGGTATTTCAGCCACACAAGAGACTCCAAATGCACACAAATTCAGACACTCGAGCAAGAATATTCCAGTGACAGAGATACCCATTTGTGTTGGAAGCAAACCCACATGTCCCATTAGCACCAGCTTGTTCCTGACATCCTCTTCAGACACCTGATTTCCCCCCAGCACTGCTGTCTGCACTGCTCCTCTGTGATGCTTCTGCTCGTGGCAGTAGAATACCATACACACTTCGCTCATGGTCAGGCTTAGTCCTTCAAAGGGAAGATGGAGCAACCTTCTTGCTGATAAGCTAATTTTCAAGCGTAGGTACGGATGCATTTGAACATTCAATTCCCCCTCTGCACACGGGGCTGCTGATCATACTATTCAGTTCTCCAGTCCATCCTTACTGACGCATCATCAGCTTTCTCAGCACAACCTGGAACTGTGAAGTAAACTGCAGCAGTGCACAACCCCCTCTCAGTTTTAATATATTCAGTGTCGTTACATTTTTGAGGTATTCTGGACGAAACTCACCTCTAAGACAGAGGGTTCACTTTGAAGTAGTACACGCAAGTGCCCAGACACAATGTGGGTTTAATGAATGCAGTTCTCTGCTGTTACTGTGAGGGAACGGTGACTTACATGGGCAACTCGTGGCCCTCCACAAGCTTGGCTGACCTCATGGCAGGGGAAAGCATTTAGGGAAGGGGATTCTATACATTCCTGCATTTGCCTATTCTGTCAGTGAATTCTACTACAATCGGGGCACTCTTTTTCCTAAAACAGTTTTAAAACTAGAGGGAGGGCCACCGTTTGCCTCCCTTTAGTTTTAAAAGTTCAGCGCAGCATGTGAACAGTTGCCACATTTCTTCTCCGTAAGATTCTTAAACTAATTTTTTCCTGCACTAAGTAGCCCTGGTCCTCAACACTACTACTAGTTGTGACTCTGCCTTTACAACTTTCCAGCCAACTTCTTCTCTCTGCCTATAGCTAGACCACTCTTTCTCTTTTCTTTTCTGAAACAGGCAGGACCCGTTACACACTAGGCAAAAACTCATGTTCTAATTGTGTTTTATGTTTCCTTTATTAGTTGTGGTTGATCACCACTAACAACAACAAGGTTCAGCTGCTTTATAATGGCATCCTTTTGAAGAGAGACTCCTCGTGCCAGTGATTAGTTCACTTCAAGGGCTCAACTCAGTGACCGGCATCCATTCTTCAACATCTTTCTTTGCATTCAATCTAGAGCCTGGTTCAAGCTTTTCCAGATCTAAAGCATGGCCCAAACTTAAGGCTAATCTCAACAACCAACAGATCATCACCAGCTCATGAGTATCACCTTTGCTCTTCCTGTTTCTGTTGCAGGACTTGGCATCTAACAAGGTAGAAAAGGTGGAAGATGGTGACACAGTACAAGTTAGATGATAGTATCTGGTATTTTTTTAAAAAATGGGTGGGGGGTTGATAAGAGACTTTACAGAGGCAGTTGCTAGGGATGGATGGGGAATTAAGTGAGTCTGCATTTTTAAGTGAGAATACTTATAGAATCATAGAATAGTAGAGTTGGAAGGGGCCATGAAGGCCATCAAGTCCAACCCCCTGCTGTTGCAGGACACCAATTTACACCATCCCACTCAGATGGCTGACCAGTTTCTTTTGGAATGTCTCCAGTGTGGGAGATCCCATCACCCCTCTAGGCAGCTTGTTCCTCTGTCCTCTGTACTGCTCTGACAGTGAGGAAGCTTTTCCTGATATCTAGCCTGAATCTGGGTTGTTGCAGCTTGAATTGATTATTCCGTGTCCTACCCTCTGGTATCAGCAAGAAGAGATCTCCACCTTCCTCTTTGTGACAGCCTTTGAGGTACTTTTAGTACTTGTACTTCCCAAGATTGAGCAGAGAAAAGAATTCATCTAACTATTAAATTCCATACATTTTGAGGCTTGCAATCATTTGGGAAAAGGGGTTGTGTACAAAAAAAGAGTACACTTGGAAAAAAACACACAGGACAGGTTTCTTAATGGGAAAATGCAGACATTAAGAAATGCATACCAATATATACATTTGGAAAAAAGTGAATGGAAATACACCTGAAAGTCCATGGAGAAGGAAAAAAAAAAGATTCACAATCGAAATCCAGGGAAAGCTTGCTGATGCAAAAATTAGAATCTCGACAAGATCAAGCCTGACAGATTAACTTATTCCTTGCAGGTGCTAATGAATATGGGTTTCATTTCAAGTAGCATTTCCCTATTAACTAAAAATTAGGCTCAATGTAAACTACAACCCAGTCATATGTAGATTTTTGTTTTTGTTATAGACACAAATGGAGACAAGCAATTATCATACCGAATAGTTCCTTAAACAAGACTCTAAGTGGCTTGTTTGCCTGTGAACATATTCTAACAGATTTTGCTTGCATGGCACCTGGATCACAAGTGTGCAGACACTTTCAATAGTGTAGTAAGACACATTAAATCAGCCTTCCCCACACTGGCTGGGCAGTGCTAGGAGCTGTAGCCCAAGACATCAGTTGAGCACCAAGTTGGGGCTGGGGTTAGGCTGTGTGACATATTTCACATGGTTGGTTCTTACCTCATCCCTAATACCGATCCTCTCTACTTCTACAACCAAAGACACCTATAGCATATGGTTTTCTGAAGTGTGTAAGTACTCCGCAGCAGTTCACTAGTCGAGAGGAAACCTAGCTCAGTCCTACTACAAAAGGCAGTTAAAGTAGCTTCAAATCTGAAAAATAATGGTTCATTATGTGTGACGGGGGAGTGCAAGACAGGCAGAAGGAAGCCTTGCTTCTTGCACTTATCAGAATGGTACTGGCTGAACTGACCCTACTGAATGGACTAACTGGGAACCATGATATCGCAAACAATCTGGCTTTTCCCTTGGAAAAGCCAAGATCTCTCAACCAGAGCTAAGTGCAAAACAGTGGCCAGGGAATGGAGTCAGTTCTCTCCTGCACCCCACAAACCAAACAGTGGCATATATACACATCTATGAGTTACCAAACAGGATTTAACACAACACTCTAAAACTGGCCAGCAAAGCCGAACAAAGAACTGTCAAAAGGAACCAATTAGTGCTCCTATTTTACATATGAGAAACATGGAGGCCAAGATTGAAGGAATTACAACGAGGCCAGCCAGTAGATGGACTTTTGAAACTTTACTTGCTCACATTAAAGCAAGCCAGAAAACCTGCAAATCACCCAGAAACCTACCAGCAGATCCCAGTCTGTCTTCTGCACACTTCTTTTAAAGTCCCTTTTCCATAATACAGGATCCCTTCAGCTTCCCCAGCCATTGTAGAACAATGTAGCCAATTGGTCCCAACAACAGTGAGCCAATAGACCAGAATGAGGAAGACTATGATTCTTCACAACAGCCTCTCCATTTTCTTTACCTGCTGGGAAGACCCCCCCACCCCACATTCCTTGTTACAGAGCAGGTTTCATGCAGCCAAACTAACCCACTTTATATTTTAGCTTTGCCCCTCTGCAATTCCAGACTGTATTTTTCGGGGCACCTTCCTTGGCAATTATATAAACCGCCCAACTTCTAAGCATTTTGCAAAGCTAGAAGTAGAGGCCCAAAAGAGAAATACCAAGACGTGGTATGGCCTGAGCCCCCTTCATGTACTAATACCCACACACTATACTACTAAAAGACTCTGAACCATGTCCTAGGAATCCTTCAAATGTGATCTGCATATCACATGAATGAACACTCGCCTTGGTAGCGAGAAGGAGCAGGAGTTGTGTTGCTAGAAAATGAAGAAGACACATTTTCCACCAAAAAGAAGAAATGCTTATGGCAGGAGCACAGAACCTCTTTCAGTCCAAGAGTGCCACTCCATTCCAGAGAAGTTCTTGGGAGCTGCATTCCCAGGGTGGGTGAGGCTGCAGGCAAACAGGTTGTGATCAAAATGCCTAAAATATCAGGATATTTTAGGGTTTTTTTATTGCCAATAACTAAGTCTTAAGAGAGACATGTCAAAGTTTTAGAATGGAGAAAAAACTGCCCAAAAGCAGGGAAATACCGAACAGTTGGTGGCTGGAGGAAAGGGCATGTGGCCATGACCTGATTTGGCCCCCTTCAGGGCCTGAGTCTCTGCAGCCCGGATTACAGTGTCTAGTCAGAAGGCTCTGCTCCGGAGGGTCTCCTACAAAGGCTCACTTCCCGCAGCTCAAACCCACCAGCTTGCTGCAGGAATTGCATGACACGCAAGGCACGCCACCACATGAAACAGAAGCACAAGGATCAAGTTGGTGATTTTAGGGCAGTTGCAAAGATATCTCCTCCATCTTAGTAAAAATATTAAAATTCTCCAAAGGTACAAGTTCAGAAAATCTTCCACAGGGTGAGGAGTTTTGTTTTGTTTTTAATTCTAGCCCCGCCCAGCTTCCCACCACCTCCCCCTCACAAGGCTCATGCTAGCTCGAGTCCTTCAGAAGCAAAGGAAAGAAAGAAATGCCCATGAAAAGGCCATAAAATTTAACCCAGCTCTTCATGAGCCCATGAGCTGCATGGACAGTAGCCTCACTGTTACTCTGTGAAAGTTTCCTTTCACTATCATTACTGTACAACACTGAACCAACTGGCAGATCTGCTACTTAAGAAATCTGTTTAGTTCCTGGTTTTAAACAATTCTCCCCATGTATTCAGAGAAGAGGATACCCTCTCACCAGAAGAACACTGTTCGGGGTGGGCAACATGGCAGGAAGAAGTACCTTTCAGAAAGCCAGTACTTCCCACCCCGTTTTTCCTTCCACACTGTGCACCCTGCTGACAGAATCAGTCCGAATGCTGCCTAACCCATGGCCCAACACACGGCAACAGACTTTTTACACTCTGATTTGATAGCCGTTCAAATCTGGCATGGCTTTGGGCTCAGTAGGTTTCTTCTCTCCAGAAGGCCTAGAAGATGACAAAAAAGGGGGAAATGTAAGTGAAACAGAATGTAGGAAGAGAGGAAGCTTTTAATGAGTCAGACCACTGGTCCATGTGAGCCCTGCTTTGTCACCCTGTGCAGGTTCACATAACAGGACAAGTGCTCTTTTACCACTGTTGGTCTGTTGCACTGTCTGAACCCCATTGTGGTATTTTAGCATGGTACCTTTGGATTTCAGAAAACAAACAGAAGTCTGCTCTACGGTTTCATGGTATTGCAAAGGCTTGCTGTGTCAACCAAACCTGGACAACACAACACACTGTGGTACCAAGGCCACGGCCAGAAGCAGGCTGGCTTGTCATGGTGTGTGAACCCAGCCACCGACTGGGAGCAGCTCTTCAGGATTTCAGGCAGTTTTTCCAGCCCTACCGGGAAACACCAAGGACTGAACCCGGGAAGTGCAAAGCATGTGTTCTACCACCGAGCTACAGCTCCTTCCATTTTGTGCAATGGAAAGCCATTATTCAGGAAACATCTGCAAAGAGACTGCTCCAGCTGTGGGGCTTTATACCCCTTCTTTCAGTATCTCACACAGTGCTGCTGCAGATGTGGGCTTCCCATGGACACCTAGCTCAGCATAAAGCTATCCTGGCACAGTCTCTTTGTATTAGGTATGAATTGCTTTTCTGCAATGCACTGTGATCTGAGCTAGTGGCGGCCTTTGAGCATCTCCAGGACTAATCAAGGAGACATTCCAATAAATCCTAAAATACACCTCTTAGGGAATATAAGCCGCACTAAACACAGGATTCTTCTGTACAACAAGAGGCTCTGCTTAAAGAATAGCACTTTTAAAGGAGGTGTTAGCAATAAGGAGTTGTGTGTACTGGAAAGTTGCAAAGGCAAGTATATAAAATATGCCTCATTATTTTGAGGTCAAAACATGTACTGTATTGAAGTTATACTTTGAGCTATGTGGGTGACAAAAATTGCACATAAATGTTTGATCATCACTACAGAACAAACACCCTTCTGTGTGCTTACCGCCTCTCAGTCCGGCTGTTGCGACGATGCGGACTGGACTGGCTTCGCTGTGGGGATGAGACGTCCTTCTTCCTATCCTTGGTGGGTGATGGTGGCCCTGTTCCTTTACTTATCTGAAGGAGAATGACAGCAAACAATAGTTGTCATTAGTTACTTCCTTTATCAGGAGGTGCAGGAAGAATGCAGCAAGAATTAAGAGTAAGGAGAAGGTTACAAGGGTTGCTAAATCTAAGCACTTGCAGGGAGTTCTTTTTAATGTTCCAGGCACAATCTTTGCAGCAAACCTGTAAGCTACAACAGAATTATCTCCAGTTCCACCTGCCTTCCGAAGCCCTGATCCTAGACAGAGCAGGGGCCTATGGTGTAAAAATGCAGGTGCTTATTTAATGTTACGGGCAGCCAGAGCCTTGGTGGGCATAGACTTTTTCAGAGATAAACTACAAGGCTGGAAAAGTGTTCTGACCTTGCGGCTGATTCTCTGAGCTTGCAGCACTTCCACCCACCCTTGCAGCTGGCACAGGAAGAAGCAGAGTCACAACAGAGACTGGGTTCAGGGAGTGCTGTGCGGCACAAGGGGGGAGTAAACAGGGGCCACTATGATGCAAAGCATCCTGGTAGTGCCTCAGCATCCTTCCCTCAGTTAAATGAGACGTCCATGTATGCCCACCCGCCCCCTGAGATCAGCGGGAGAGGCCCTTCTCCGGGAACCCTCCGTGAAGGAAATTAGGAGGGTAGGTACTCGGAGGAGGGCTTTCTCTGCGGTGGCGCCCAATCTATGGAATGCGCTCCCCAGAGAGGTCTGCCTGGCACCATCGTTACTTGTTTTTCGGCACCAGGCGAAGACCTTTTTATTCAAACATCATTTTAATTGTTAATATTATTTATTTTATTCTTTGGCCAGGGCGACTTAAATTTTACTGTTATACTGCTAAATTATATTGTTTTATATTATGTTATTTATTTATGATTGTGAGCCGCCCCGAGGCTTCGGCGAATGGGGCGGCATAGAAGTCCTCTAAATAATTAAACGAATGAATGAGTGAGTGAACGAAGTCAGCCGTCTCTACAGGCAGAAGGAACACAGACGCAACCTTTCCCACCCTGCTCCTTCTGCCCCACAGGAAGTGCCTATAATACTGTGCGTTTGGAGGGCTACGGCATTTGAATTTAACTGTGCCCTCAGTGAGCATGGCTAAGGCAAGATTTGGATGGGTGTGTCAGTTCACACGCTTGGCTCCTTTGCTGAACTCACTGTCGTGAATCTGTATGTCTCCTGCTGCAATGTGCAATTTGTGAGTGTGTTGCACTTTCTTCCCCTCGCCACCCCTTTCCCGTATTTGCAAGGGAGGTGAACTGGACCTTTGATGTTCCTTCCAGCTCTGTGCCTCTGCTTCTCTCGCACATCGACAGCCACCCACGTCCCAGCTACAGGGTCAGTCCAAAACATTTGAACAAGATGACAACTCCCGCCTCACATTCCACATGCAAAACACTTCAGCGCTGGTGACTGGATAGCATTCTCCACTGCGTCTGAGGGAGCGAGCTAGTTCAAAAGGTGCAAGATGGTTGTGTGGCATATACCACCCTGTCTCCCGACAGAAGGGAATGGCTGGGATGCAAGTGGCCACTCATTCTACCCAGTAATAGGGCTGGCCGTGCCCAGCGTGATATGGATAGAAGCAAGCAAGATGCTGTTACTACTGTGCTGGCAAAAAGGTGATGTGTTAAAGTAAGTGAGCAAGCAAATCAGAGACTAGACTAAGTTTGTTTCAGTTGACAAATCACTTCAGCATGCCCCATTTACAACCCCAAATGTGAAAGGGAACGCATACTCTCCAATAATTGTCATTATCATTATTAATTTATTTCTGTGTTTGCAAATATCCAAAATTACATTTGAATTCTCAAACTGAAATAAGGAACAATGACGGGGCAAGTGACAATTCCTCCCTTGCTTTCCAACAGCTTGTGCCTATCATTATCATCATCACATTACATTTCTATACTGCCTGGAGCTGAAGCTCGGGGCAGTTCAGAACATTTAAGGCACCCATCCAGATTTCAAGCAGGTCCGACCCTGCTTCGCTTCAGACTAGACATCAGCCTCTGCAGGACTTTGCCCTGAAAGGTGGAAGACACATTTTGCCCTTAAGCATGCAGGTAGCAACATTCAACTCAAACAAGAGTGTTTGCCTTTAAGGTGTGACCCCAGCAGACGGGATTAAGCATGAATAAATAGTCCATGTTAACAAGCCAGCTAAGTACCTCCAGCAGCAATCTCACCTTTAGCCTCATGTCACGGGAACGCCTCTCAAGCTCCTTGCGGAATTCCTCACGGCCCAGCTTCTCCGCATCCAAGATGGAATGCTTCCACTCGATCTGCTCCACGCTGTGCGGGTCGTGAGACACACACTGGCCGAGCTTCACCTTTTTTAGGGTGTGCCAGCAGCGGCGGTACGCCTCCTCATAGTCAAAGATCAGTTCGCTCAGTGTCCGGAAGGTGGGTGCCTTGTACATGAGATCCTCACGCCGACTAATGCCCAGTGCCCCATAGCGGCCCCCAAAGTTCACTCCCAGCACAATATGGCGGAAGTAGTTCCCTGAGAAGTAGGTTTTGAAGCTGATGGGGAAACGCTCCAGTGTTGGCATGTTGTTGGTGAGGTAACTGTTAATGGTGAAGTATTCAGGAAACAGGTGATGTGACAAAGAGAAAACAACTCAGATGGGCCCCTTTCCACTTCTACAGTATCTTAGCCAGACTCTATTAGTTAGGTTCAATTCTGTTGGATAGATAGCAGACCTCTGGCTGATCCTGGTTCCTTTAAAATCAACTTCTCTGCCAAGGCCAGCTGCACAAGTGCTGGGGGTGGCTGGCAATATCTTGTCCTTCTCCTTGCTGCAATATGGAGCTCTTTTGGCTCCCTGTGGCTTTTCCATCCTTTTATATTTTTTTTCTGGAAACCGGGAAAGTTGGCTTGACAGCCAGTTTTTCATCTCAGTTTGTGCAGCCATCAGCTCCCTCTTCAAAACATTTACAGCAGCACATTATATTCCACAGGGTTTTTTGTTTTGGTGAGCCATGGGTGCACCAAAATTAACTTTAAATAATGTTTCACTCCCATGAGTACAAAGACATGCTAATGCGGGCCTTTGAAACTGCTGGTGGGGCCACTTTTAGTGGGGTTGCCAATATGTAGGGGCAGCAGGTAACTTTCCTACAAAGCATCCAGCAGAGGCTTAAAGACCTGCCCACTTCCTGGATTTTGCTTGCCAGGCTGAAGAAGCACCTTGAACAAGAGAAATCCACGCCCACAAGGGCTTCTCTGCAGAAGAGTGTCTGCGGGGGATTTTCTGCTCTCCTTCTCAGCAGGATCCTCAGCTTCTCAAGTTCTGCCCTTTTACTTTCCATGAGAGAGACACTTTTGCACCCTCCTCCCCACTGCCTAGGGGCTGAGGAAAGGCTGAAAGGGTATTCCCCACCTCTTAAAAGAAAATAGTATCGAATCCCTTTCAAATGGGGATTTTGAGGGAGAACTGAGATGTGGACTGGGAGATACCCAGAGGAAAGTTCCCAAATGTAACCAATTTCCCTTAAATTCCCCCATTTTAAAGGGACCCTGAGTTTTGAAGATTCTGAAGTGCCACCTGTACTCACTGCCCTTTTCATGGGCTGGTTTTATTGGTGACGTCTGTTTTTATTGTATTTTATTGGATATTTATTGCTTTTATGTCTGTTCTGTATTATTTTTAATTTTGTTTGCCACCCTAAGGCTGTTAAAGGTAGCCTAAGAATGTTTTCAGATAGGTTATACCTACCCAAAGGCATTTTGCTGACAGGTGAAACAGTACATAATATACAGTGGGTTTCACATGCCAGTGTATAAGAACAACAGCACCAAAACTAGTGCATTTCAACAGGAATTCACATACTGTTCTAAGATGAAAGGATACATTCCCAGGATCACAGCCTCCAGACACTTGATTGGCAGGGCCTCTTTCGTCATTTCTTTGGCCAGATCCATCAGCCTATGGAACAAGAACAGGCAAGGAGCAAGAGAATTGCATTATACTGATATTATTAGAAAGGATTGTATCAAGCAGAGCATGTGCTGGGAGAGATGCAAAACAGGAAAAAGAAGAATGGACTAGAATCACACAACGGCAGAGGAGAAGCTGCGCAATAGGTTCTAGCTCAGTTCCTCATGATGCCCCTCTCCTACTGTTGACTCAGAGCTTCCCTTCAATGATTCAGTGACAATTCATCTTCCACACCAGATTGCATTCTCAGTATATATTTGGAATCATGCCTAATATGGTCCATACAGTGATGTTCCTCCCATCTCATGTTAGTAGATGTCTGCCATTGGGCTACCAAACACCTGGAATGGAAGTCTGCATGAAACATACTGCATGGATATCATCTGCAATCCATCTATGTCACATCAGCAAGACTAAGGGTTCACAATGCTGGATGAACTCAAGATCTGTGGGCATTTATTAGGAAGAATATGGACTATATAAGCAAGGCCTGTGAATCTGGGGTGGAATAACAAAGCCCAATTTGTTCTTTTATGGGCCAACATTCATTCATTGCTAGTGCTATTGAGATGGATCCTTGAACAGCTGGAAGAAAACCACTCTTGGACTGGGGCAACACGTAACAGCTGAATTCAACCTAGCGTTCAACTATTGTGCTGAAGCAACTTAGGGAGGCCAGATACGGGCCAGCCAAGAGCTCAGCTTGGGCCTTTTGCTCGGCCAAGAAGGGAAAGAGCCTTCAGAGAGAGATCTGGAGTGATAATACTTACCCAGTCAAAGGCCTGCTCTTCTTGATTTCAAAGAACTGTGTCCCAGTATGATTGTACCTGGGAGAAAGGAGTTAAGGGCCAACAGTTCGAAGGGCTGTTGGAGGGGGATACAGCCATCTACCATCCACCACTTCCAGAAAACGCTTTTGAAAATGCAAGGAATCTGCAGCACAAAGAATTCAGCAGGAAAACTGTGCTATCTGAGCCAAACTAAATGGGAGGGTTTGCTTCTGTGAAAAATTTGATAGCAGGTGTGTGTGTGTGTGTTCCTCAGGACAACATTTAGTTCTTTCCTCCCCAGCTACAAAGTTGAATGAAATTGTCCCAAACATGTTGCTATTCTCCTTGGAAAAACATTGCTCCAAATGTTGCAATGATGGGAACCCAGAGGTGGCTTTCAGGAGAGCTGAGAGCAGCATTCCTCATGCTTGCTGCCAATGAGAGGTGCTGCTGTCCAATGCATCTGGTGGGCACCAGGTTGGGGAAGGCTAGTCCAAAGCATTTAACACCACGGTGCCAAGCCTCCTGCCCTTAACAAAGGTGAAGAAGAAAAGACCAACACGTTCCTTCCTGTCTCTCTGTTCCTGAAACAGGAGATCATCAAGTCAAACACATTTTGAATACTATATTTTTGGTACCAGGGAGACTGAAGCTGGCAATGGATGAACTTTGCCTTATTTATGTAGCTGATTTTGGGAGGACAAGGAACAAAGAAAAGGAAACTTGTAACCCAGCAAAACCACAGGCTGCAACAAACTGGGGGCAAGTTTCATTTCTCAGTTGGGTTGACTGAAGCGCCAAGCAGCCAAAAATTTTCTCTTGTGGTCAAGTTCGGGAAGTGGCCTTTCTTCCCTTTTCATTCCTTGGTGATTTGGCAGAAGTTGAAAGGATACTGAAGCTCCCTGATGTAGCGCTGTATCGCTTCCAGGCGCTCAGGGATAGGAGTGGACGGCTGGAGCATAGGCACACTTGGTATGGGAATCTGCATGCAAGAGGGGAAGGGAAAGAAAGGGAAAGGGATGAGATCATCCACTTATGGCCTTATCCTACAAAAGTTTAGATAGAAAAAAGATCTAAAACTCCCAGCATGCCCCAGCCAGTTATGTGCCCTAAGCAAACATTTTGGACAAAGCCTGCATCCAGACACAGCGCTAAAGACACATTAGATCATCGTCCCACTTAACCACATGAAGTAGCCCATTTTTCCTGCTGGTGGCCTGACGTTAGCCATGTCAAAAGGAAGTGTGTGTGTGTGTGTGTGGGGGGAGTGTTTATTCTCCCATGTTCAGTCCCTAAAAGGGAAGTCTGATGGACTGAAGAATTCTTAAAAAGGCAAGAGAGATGCACTGATATATGGGACCCATAATGTAGCTGGAACTGTGGGCGACTTCACCTGTTCATTGCAAAAGCAACCCCAGCAGAAAGGAAAAAGTACACTGCAGATTTTAAGAAATGTTATATCTATGATAATAAGCAGCAGTAACATTTGGTGGAAATTTCCACATTTGGTAAATGGTCAAGAATTTCATTAGGGTTTTTAATAATAATAATAGTAGTAGTAGTAATAATAGTAATAGTCATCATCATCACGATGACAACTTAACGGAATCCCCAAAATACTTTATAAACATGTTGAAGAGAACTTGATTTTGTTAAAAGAACCAAACTGGGAGAAAGTGAAATTAGTAGATGCATCCAGCCCTAGTAACAAGCAGATATGGCAAAGGAACACATTTCACTTCTGTTAAGAACAGGAGGTTGAGAACAGGATGGGGGCCATGCTGGATCAGAGCACAAGCCCAACTAGTCTAGCGCACTATTCCCACAGTGGCCAACCAACGGGAAGCTCATAAGCAAGACTTGAGAACAACGGCACCCACCCACCCATGTTTCCAACCATTAGAATACAAAAGCACCCTGCACCTGATTCTGGAAGTACTACTTAGCCATGGTGTCCAGAAGCGATTGACAGCCTTATCCTCCACGACTTTAATCCCCCTTTAAATGCATCGAGGTAGATGGCCATCAGAGTATTTTAAAATAATTCTATGGTTCAATAGAGAACTGCTACAGTACAATGCAGGTGTCCCTGCTAGAATTGTCTCAGATACTCTCAAGAGAAGGTATTAAAAGGCGCTGGGGCAACAACAGCCATTCCTAGTGCTGCAGAACTTGGAAATATTCAAAAACATGAAGTCTGAGTGAAAATCATATGCACCAAGCCAACATGGATGATACTGCACACATTTACAAAGACCAGCTCTTAGGTGGAGGGAATATGAGGAGGACAGTGTCAAATGACTGTGACATTTAATAGTTATTCATTTTCTCCCGCAATGGTGCACTCAGAAAGAGGAAGAGAGAGAGTTGAAATGTACATGCCAAATCCAATCAGAGAGCTGGATGGGCTCCTAGAAATGCAACATGAGCACTTAACTCATACATTTTCAAAGCTCTGGGAATGAAGGCACCAGTGCTATGCAGGAGAAAAATGAGCGAAAGATTCCAGAAAAAAAGAGGTTTTGCTTTTTTAAAAGATCAGTATGAGATTGCTCAAGCCAATGAATCAAGCTACATGTAACAACGGAAAGAGGGGTAAGATGGGGCAGCATGCAAAAAAGAGACAGGAGCAGCAGGTTCTCAAATGGTAAGAGCTGGTGGTCAATTGAGTGTGTGAGTGAGAGCTGCCCTCATCTCCAAAGCAATATGCACTTCCTGGAAAAAGCAGAAGCACTTGCTTGCTCTTCCCCATCCACTTTACCTCTAGGGGATATACAGTTCGCCCAGACATGTAATAGAGACGACTTACAGCCCCCCACTTAACCAATTAGACTGATGAGGAGTTCAGCATATGCAAACCTGGGCATGAAGCCCAGACTGGGTTAAGGTTTCTTCTACACCCAGGACTCCAGTCTTTTCCCTTACAGAAAAAGGGAGGAGGGTGAAAGACCGTAATCTGTCCCTCTTATCTCAGAGCTAACTAATAAGCTATGCTAATGCTTTGTTGGGATACTGCCCTGCTGCAATTTCTTCTCCTTAAAACATGCCAGAGAAAAAGCTGCCAGAGAACAAGCCATTGATATAAGTACCTGCCAAAAGGAAACATTAATGTTGGGCTGGCTATTAGTCCCTTCTGAAGAGAGTTTTGATTCGTCGATTTCTCGTTTATGACTACGCAGTAAATTCAGTCAAGAAGAAACCCCCAAGAGGTCTGTTACCCACCAGCTGCTCTAATCACTCCTGAAACCGCATGTCTCCAGCCTTGCGTTACTAGAGGCAGATTCATGCTACCATGTTTTTCCATGTGATGGTCACAGCTACTATGCAACAGCCAGCTCCTCTGACATTTCCAGCATGAGCCAGCTATTGTGATTAGAGCCAGTTTCATCCCATCCCAGATAATACCTGCAGATAGGGAATAATGCTTGCATGCAATAATTTGGTTACAGTTTGAACCAGTGGTTGTTCACTGCAGAATGCCAACAGAGAGCCCAGCAGAGCAGGGGGATATAGAAGATATACTTTAGAGCATGAGTCCTCAAACCACAGCCCGCGGGCCGGATCCAGCCCGCCATGCCCATTTATCCGGCCTGCCTCAGTGGTTTTGGACTCCCCGCACCCACCACCCCCTGCCTCACCACACACGCGCATGCTCGGAGACAGTTTGGGACTCACTGGGGGATCTCCGAGCGAGCAAGCCGCCGCTGCCCCACCAGCCCGTGCTCGCAGGAACCCCTGCCTCACCCACCTGCGACTGTTGCCACCGCCTTTCAACCGGCCCCCTGTTGAAAAAGTTTGAGGACCCCCTGTTGCCACTGCCTTTCAACTGGCCCCCTGTTGAAAAAGCTTGAGGACCCCTGCTTTAGAGGTTCTTTAGGATGTTCCTTAACAGAGCAAATACTTCATTGGAGGCCACTCTGCAGAAGCCTTGCAAAGCAATTATCTAATGCAAGCCTGGGGAAACTTCAGTTATGAGAGCTACTTTTTAAACTAGAACTCCGAGATCCACCAATCAAAGCCTTACACTTTAAATAATTCTGACCCAAGGAATTTGTTTTGAGGACCAGAACGGAAAAAAGGCCAGAGTTTTTCCAGGCAAATATCAAACCCTGAGTACTCCAAACTTTCTTCATTTTAGTAGTAAGATCTTGAGCAGTTTTAAAAATTGCTGTTTTAAAAATTATGTTTGAAATCCTTGCTAATCCATTGCAAAATGCCCAGACATCTACCAATAGACCCAAGTGCACCACCTGCCCATTTCTGATCCAGTGTGTGTGTGTGTGTGTGTGTGTGTGTGTTTTCTGAGGCAGGAGAGTGAACACCCTGTGCTTCTGCACAGTTTTTGCAATGCAGACAGAAACATTACATCATAAATCTAGATGAGAATTCCTGCCTTTGAGCTGCCAGATCCCCACATCTAATTAGAAAACTGTGGATTGGATCTCACCCAGATGTGAGAAGTCTACAGAACATTCCCTGCTAGAGGTTGGAACTGTGGAGATTTGGTAGGAGTACCATGCTTTGGAGATTCAGATAGCAGAACACTAATTCCAAAAGCATCAAAGGAAAGCAAAGTGTGGCAAACATGCACAAAGCATGCTCTGGAATATATGCCTCCAGCAGGCTTGGCAATTGCACTGAATGCAGTACTGGCCAGGGCATGTGTCCAGTGCAAAATCAAATCATGAGATCCCAGCAAAGTACCACAAGTTTTCCAATGGTACTGGAATCCTTGTGTACAATCTGATAAGGGAGAAAATTGCTGAACTACAAAAGTGAGCCTCTGACAAAAAAGCACTCCAGTGAGAAGTGGGTATTATACCAAATGTGCCAATGCAAACCCACTATGGCTAACAGAAAAGCAGCATTCTTTCCTCCCATTCATATGAGTAGCAAGTAGAACATAAAACAAACTTGAAAATGAAACTGTATAGAGGCAGACCTAGTGGTAAAACTAGTAGCTTTGGCTATTTCAAACTTGCTGATGCTTTTCAGGGCTTTGTGCTAGTGTGGTTAAAACTGCCCAGACCACCTGGGTTGCCATGTGATCGAATTTTACCAGCTTCCTTGCTGAAGACTTCTTGTATAGATGAGTCCTACCACCATGGGGGTCACATGGTATTTCCCCCCTATACAAGTCAGCTGTTAATAGCAGGTACAATCTGTGAGTAGAAGACTCTGTTTTATACCCTCATTTCAGTAGTACTAGTTTCCCATCTGTCCTCTTTCTCCCCAGAGTGCTACCTCCATTTTCCCATTCAACTCAACCATCTGGTATTGTCACTCACTAGAGAGAAGCAAGATATTTCAGGATTACATAAGTCACCGGCCTATACTGCTATGATATATTTCTGCCAAAGTACTGGTTATCCCAGACTAATTTTTTGCTTCATACAAACTGCATTGGAAATGGTGGTAAGTACATCAAGTAGAAGCATGAATGAATGAATAAGGAGGTACAAAATACCTCTTGCCTAGCACATACAGTAGACTCCATCATCAATGCCCTTTGAATCCCGTTCTTTGGCATGGATATAGGCCTGCACCTACCACCAGTGAAACTTTTTCCAACCGTGGATGCACAATAGGAATCCCTTTGTGAGATTCTGAACTATCTCCCCAGAGCAGGGATGAGCAAGTTGTTGCCTTCCTGAAGTTTTGGCCCACAACTCCCATCATTCCTCACCAATGTGCAGGCAAGGGCTGATGGAAGTTTGCTCATGTTAGTCCTATACCAATGGCCACCACCATCAGGGAGAAGAGGGTGATCAGGTTCTCCTTGATCAAGATTTGTCTCTCACAACTGGGATTAAGAATGTTACACTTCAAAGTCTGATACAAGCTGGCAAACCTTCTGCAACTTAGCTTCCTTTGCTTCCCTGCCTATTTATTTTCTAGGTCATTTCATGCATGTTGACTTGTAAAGCTCATATTATAGCGTGTTAGTTCTGAAGGCTGCCACATCATTTTTGCTGCAGTGTATTAAAACTGCAGTTTTTCTTATCTGGGACTCAATAGGGAGCACTGTTTAATTCCCACAAAACTTCAACCACAGAGAAGTACAGGCAATCCTCAGTTTCTACCTACATAGTTGAAATGAGCTATTTTGTTGACAGAGCCCTTTCACCCTCCTCAACCTAGAAAAAAAGAGAATAAAGTTTTCCAAGTACAGCAGGAAGTTGTCTCTGCAACTACAGTGGGCAAAATATGTCAGGCATGGCCCAGTAATGCTCATTGTACAGTGGCCGGGTGCAATCCAATGGGAATGCCTATAAGCCTAGGCAGGGCAGGAGAAGCATGGAGGCAAAGGTTGTCTCCAAGCTCCTCCAGTTCTGCACTTCATCAGAGGGGGAGGGAAGGAGGTTAGAGTGTCACCAGAATACCTTGCATTCCGACAGCCTTAGTCCCCCCCCCCCCACAATGGCTCCCCTTTCCCCCTTCTCCAAGGTCACCCTTACGTTCTTTCCATCCTGGCTGCATGGAGGAGAGGGATCCAAAGGCAGATCTCCAGCTCTGAGTTCAAAAATCTTCTTCAACCTTGGATCTGGGAATCTGAAGACTCCTACAGCCCATTGGAGTCATTAGGGCAATATAATCACTCTGCTCTAGATTTTAAGCAAAACTTAAGGGGTAGGATTAAAATATCCTTCAGTTGTTGCAGCAAGACACCTGTAGTTATCCAAAATATCTTACAAGCCAGTGTTAAAAGAGAAGCTTCCTCAATGCTATTCGTTCTCTAGCTCCTAAATCTTGTTGGTTGTTATCCCTATTTCACACAGTCCCTCAGAAAATCATAGTAGAGTTGGAAGGGGCCAAGAAGGCCATCAGGTCCAGCCCACTAAAGTTGCAGGACACCAATTTATACCATCCCACTGAGATGATTGTTCATTTCCTTTTTGAATGCTGCTAGTGTAGGAGAGTCCACGACCTCTCTGGGTTCCACTGTCATATTGCTCTGACAGTGAGGAAACTTTTCCTGAGATCTAGCCTGAATCTGGTTTGTTGCAACTTGAACTGATTACTCAAGATCTTGTCCTTCCTCTTTGTTACAGCTTTTCAGGTACCTATAAAATGATATCATGTCCCCTCCTCAGTATTTTCTTCTCTAGGCTGAACATACCCTGATCTCTCAGTCTCTCCTCATAGGGCAATGTTTCCAAACCCTCGATCATTTTTGTTGTCCTCCTCTGGACCCTTTCTAGGTTTTCTGCATCTTTCTTAAATCTCAGAACTCGGCACAGTATTCTAGATGAGGTCTAGTGAAGAGGTCTAGTGAAGAATATAGGGGAACTATGACTTCTTGTGATTTGGAAGTAATCACCCTCCATATGTGATTTAGCCAGTTATGAATGATGATGCACACACAGTTCAGCACTATCTCACAACAGTAGAGTCAGTTATCTTACTATGCTTAAAAAGCTGCTCAGAACAAGATAGGCAATGCAAGTTACCTTTGCTTGCAGTAAGGCCTCATGCATAGCAAGCAGAACTGTTGAAGCCCCCAAACTCCATCAAAATACACAGCACTCTCAAAATATGTTCCAAGGATGCTGCACTCTGGCAACTGTGCTTGAAGACCCTAGCTGGCCTTTCTAACAGAAATAACTAATAGGGATCTCCCTCAGGCACACACAGACACAAAGTTTACCTATCCTATTTCTGCAGGGAGACAGAATCCCGCCATTTTGCATCCAGAGTCTACAACTTACATCCAACTGTTGTTCTAGATCAGGCTCCACCCTAGTGTCCTGGCATTACATAGTTTCAACCCAGATTATTTATTTATTCATTTTCCATATTCACCAGTTCACTGGTCAATCACCCCACGGTTCACTTTCTTCACACATCCTTTCTCCACAAAGCCTCTCTCACCTTCGGTAGGTCCGTGGCTCCCCGGATCCGCAGAGCGACTCCTTCTCCCTCAGGATGGATCTTGGCCACATGTTTCCACATCCGTTCCCAGGTGGCCTCATTGATAGGAAGCCCCCCTCGGTTCACAAAGAAGGGGATCCCACCATCTCGGAGATCTTCATCCCCTTCTTCTTCCTGCTCTTCCTCTCTTTGTGCCACGCCTTCCCTGGTCTCAGACCGCAGCGAGACGGCAGCCCCGCTGCCGCCACCGTCCACTTTGCCACCCGACATCCCAGCATCCATCAGGGTGACCTTCCGTCGTTTACAGCACAGCACCTCCAGGCTTCTTCAGGTTGCCGGAGCCAGAACTAGGGTGGCTGAAGACATAGTGGTTAGAGAGCAGAGGAAACCTTTGAAGTCAGGCAGACAGGCGCACACGCATGCACGCACGCACACACAAAAGGGTGTGGCCCACTCACACAAGATCATCATGCTCTAATTTGGTCACCTCTCCAGCCTGGAGCAAGAGGCCGTTGATTTAGGAACTTAAAACAGGCGCTCCGAAAGAGTTTAGGGGAGCGTGACAGAGAGGAGAGAGAGTTCGTGGTTGTTTATTCAAAGAAAGCAAGATCGGGGTGGCTCTTCCTCAAGGATGCAACAACGGAACACTGATACAGTCCAGTTATTCGGAGAAAGTAGCGCGAAGGGAAGGGAAGGGAGGAGGGACACGCGTGCGGAAAACCCTGCCCGACTGTAAGGAAAGATCTACCTTGTTCACCTAGCAGGACATCGGCCACTAAGAGCAGCAGGTCCAAGAGAGCATCACAGGGGCAGGTCGAAGAGCCCGCCAGCCAGGTTCGGGCACCCGGAGCCTCGCAGTCCCCTTCCCCCAGACCGGCGGAAAAACGGAGAGCCAAAAAAAAGAGGCTGAAGGCGCGCACCGCAGGCAGGCGAGGAGGGGAGCGGAGAGGCGGCTTCCCGGGGTTGTCCGGGGGTGTCTTTCGGTGCAGCGCAAACCTCGCCCGCTTACAAGGCTGCTGAGCTCAGAGCCGGTCACAATGCCGCGAGCGCGGCCGGGAAAGGGAGGCGGCTGGCCGGCGCGGGAGGGAGGGAGAGAGGGAGGCGAGCGAGCGAGCGAGCGCCGGCTGCTGCTGCTGCTGCTGCTGCGCTCCGAGGAGAATTGCGGAGCAGCGCGCCCGCCCGCCCGCTCTCTCGCCCAGCCAGTCCGGCCCCGCAGCTGGGCGGGCGAGACGGAAGGACAAAGGCCGCCCGCCCGCCCGCAGGCAGCGGTTCTGAGCCGCTGGGCGAGGAGGAGGAGCCGCCGCCTGGGCGGCAGCGGCTGCATGCGAGGAACGCAGCGCGACGGCGCGTCCCGCAAGACCTCCAGGCGGCGCCTCCGGCCGAGCGCCCGAAAGGCCCGGCCTGCCGGTGCGGCCGCGGCTTCAGCGCCCGGGGGCTGCACCAGGGGCGGCCACCGCTGGGTCTCCCCACCGCCCCATGCCCGGCGACAATGCTCCCTGCGCATGCGTCCTTCCTGGCGGCTGGGGTTAGTTAAAGAGACAGAGGCTCCCCCATAATCTGGGGCGGCGGCGTTGCTGCTTTGGGTGGAGGCAGGAGGGGAAAAGACCTCCAGGAGGAGGGAGGCTCTCGATTCACTGCCAAGCCTTCCACGTGCGTTGCAGCACACTTCCCTTCTCCTCTGCGACCCTAGGGCCCGACGTCTGGAACTGATCGCTATTTACTGGGAAGCGGAAGTGCCCACTCTGTACACGCTCAGAGGCGCCCTGGTCGTCATGACTTGTTTGTCATACTTGAGCTCCGGCAGTGAAAAGGTTTCTAGAAAAAATCCTTCCCTCATCTTTTATCTGGTTATGCCAAGGAATTATCAGCATGGGGGGAACAAATCATTAAAGGGACCAAGGTTGTGTTCCTGAAGCTAAGCTAAGCAAGACTGCCTCGCATTGGCGGCTGGATGAGAGAGCCCCCGGGGTACTGCAGAAGTTGACAATGACAGTGTGGGTTGATAAGTGTGGGATAGACTGCTACTTAGTGAGCAGTAGTTGATGGGTATCCCATTCTCTGATCTCACCTGTCTGGGAATGCATTTGCAATCTTTCCCTGGCAATGGAGCTGAAGAGGCTGACAATGCTCCATGAGAAGGGTCCTAAATGTGGAGATGATCGGTTAACACCTGTGTTTTGCCTGGGAATTGGACTTGAAGTTTCAGTGGGCTGTGTGAGCAAACCCATTGTTCAATTTAATATGGGCTCAGGGTGTTAACTGTTCATCATAGTTAAAAATGGCAGTGAAGTTTCATTTTTTAACAAGCTATGGCTTGTAGTGTTTGCTTACCTACCATGGCATTGCATGTTGTCTAAAGGTCAAGATGCTGCTTTCCACAGTGGAAAACTCATGCAACGGATGCAGCAAGAACAACAAAAAACCGTTGCCATTCATGTTAGTGTGGGCAAATTTATTTTCAGATTGCAATATAGCTGCTGAAGCCATCATCCCAAACTTTGCCGAGAAGCTAATGGCAGTGTGGCCACACATGCTAACGCCTTGTAAGCAGCACCACCCCACCCCTGCATGCCTGGCTGACTTTTTGATAAAGTGTTTTTCTTCCACTGCTCTTCTCCAGCGGCAAGTTATCTTCACAACAGCCTTGAAGGAGCCTTTCTCCTTGCTAAGTGTAGCTGCAGTTTGCACACTGTTTCTCCTTGCCTCACTTTATTTTCTCTCACACAGTGGGGACAAGCCCCCTGACACAAGCCTAAAGAGACCCTGCTTTTCTTAGCCCCTTTGGAGAGTGCAGCTGTTTAAGCAGTTCACCCACATTATTTGCTCCCGTACCTCCTCCCCTGATGGTTCCCACGGTTCAACTGACATGCAACCCTTGCTTCCCACAGGTGCTTTTTTGTGCAACTGTTCCCAGAGAAATTCCACTACTGGGCAGTACAGAAATATCATAATTCCCATTTGTCAGAGCAATGCAATGGTGGAACCAGCTGCCTAGAGAGGTGGTGGGCTCTCCCACACTGGAGACATTCAAAAAGAAACTGGACAGCCGTCTGAGTGGGATGGTGTAACATGGTGTCCTGAAACAGCAGGGGGTTGGACCGGATGGCCTTCTTGGCCCCTTCTAACTCTACTATTCTGTGATCTGTTCCCTTCTCCCACTCCATGCCAATCGAAGGGAAAGCTCCTTGTTGAACTAGTGAAGACCTGGGCTCCTTAGAAATGGGTGACGCTTTCATGGGAACAGAGAAAAGAATGGAAGGGCTCAGGGATGGGAACTGCGTGGCATGGACAACACTTGGCCACAGCAGATGGCCAAGCAAAGCAGAAGCTGTGAGTGGACAGGAAGCTTGCAAGCTGTCTGGAGAGGCTCATTGGGTGGGGAAAGGATTGCAGGGATCAGCTGGGAGAAAAAGGTGGCAGACTTTGGGGGAAAGCAGCAACACAAGGCTGACTGATAGAAAAAATAGTGACATAGCAGTGATGGGCTAATTAAGAGAGAATGACCAGTGCAACTCCACACAGGACCCTGATTCTGCCTGAAAGTTGCCTGGGAGGTGCACTACCGCCACTGGAGGTCTGAGCAAGTGGGGAAAGGAAGCGAAGGCAGGGAAAAAGCAAACCCACAGTCTGTAGCTCATTAGCTCTGCAGGCTTTTTGTATCATACAAACCTGCCCACCATCACACATCATCAGATTATTAATAGTCCTTTTGTCCAGTTATTTCCTAAAGGCTTTTTTGTCCAACTAATTGAAATGCCTTAAAAGGGGAGGGAAGGAGGCTGGCAGAGGCCCCGGATAACTCATATCCTGGCCTCTTCCCTTTCCCCTGTAATACCTCCTCCTCTCCCTCTCTGAGGTTGCTTTCCTGACCTCAGAGGACAGTCGGAGGGGTTCTTTCCAGCTGGCTTTGATGATGTGCAGGAGGTGGGTTTGGAGCTCTGATTCCTAGCTCCATGGTTGGAATGACACCGCCAGTCCTGGATTTGGAAATCCAAACTATCCTATGCTCCCTGAAATGCTATCTGGGGGCCATAGGACCACTCCCTAAAAACATTAAAACAAGCAAAGACTTCATGACTACTGGATACAAGACTGACATTCCTTGATCTCTGGCTTGAAGTATGCCTTCAAGGCTTTTTAATTGTTAGGGCTCTAATTGCAGAGAAAAGCACTTACCATTTAGAAGTTGTTGCTGAAAGTTCAGTCACCACACTGTGTTGTTGATGTACAAACCAGTTCTTTGCTCTGCTTTGTAAACAACAACGATAGTAGTGAAGAAAACGGCCATCGCAAACAATTTATTGCAGAGAAAAAGATAAGAAGAAAAAAAGGAAGAGGCAGATTAATGGCTTGATTTTGGTTGTTCCATTTCCCCGTTATTATCCCACTTGTAAAAGAAAAATCACAATGTGTTTCAGGGGCTACTATTTTAGACCCCCAAATCCTTCCACATAAAAACTTAAAGACAGAGCTTAGTCTAGAAGCAAAATGAGCTAAACAAGGCACAATAATAAACTGGGCACAGAATCAAAGAGGTAGAAGAGGCCAATAGAAGCCATCTAGCAGAGCTTACCTGTTCCAAGATAGGGAACACTTAAAGCAGGAATGGGTAGCTTTCCAAACTTGGCCTGTATGTATGAGCTAGATGTTGTCTGCCTGACCTTAAATGGTGTGTGATGTCATTTTTAGCCCTGTCTGGAGTTCCTGGAACTGCTTATCGTTCAGTCAAAGTGCTCACTTGCATATTGCAAAAAACAGGAAAATTATTACCCTAAAATGCAAGCATACTAATACAAATCTAGAAATAATTCATATAATTTAAACAGAAATGCAATATATTTCACCATAATGTGAACAGATGTGACCATGTGACTTGCATACCTGTTGCTCAGTCTCCTGTCGGGTGCTAAATATTGATGGGCAATTTTAAGGCCCCTCCTGCACTTCTGGCTCTTTACTTTTAAATCAGGCAGGGACTGCATAGCCCTTCAGAGAGAGAACTGTTTCTCCACACCCTGTTTCTGGCCAGGTGCCACATCCATGTTGCAGTAGTTTCGATTTCTGGAATGCATTGTACATGGGGGTCGCCTTTGGCCCCACCCATGGAAAGATCATTCCTAGGTTCCAGAGTAGCCTTCAGGCTGAAAAGATTCCCCACTCCTATTGTAAAATATCGCACATGAACTCATGCTTTCATTCAGATGTGCTTTTGAAAGGCTTTAACATTCTGCTACTATGCTGTATTCAGTTGTACAAAAGGGCTTGTGTCTGCTGTGTTTCCACTTAAGCGATTTCCACACCAAAACCAGCAGGAATACAAAACCTGAAGTTGGATTACATGGCTCCAGCGCAAGTCATTACGTCTTCTTCCAATTCACTCATTTCCCAGAAGGAGCAGCTTCACTGTTTGTCATGCATTGTTAATTGGAAGTATTCCCCTTTGTTTCTGAATCACAGGCATCCTAGACAACATTTGTTAAAAATAATGACAATTTTTTAAACATTCCCTGACTCGCACAGTTTTCTATAGGGCCATCTAGTGACTACCAGGAATATTTTAAAGTGTGGGATCAAGAAAGTGTAAGAATGCTACAGTTTCTCTGGGAGCGAATGGATCTCACATTGCTGGGAAATTAGGCTATGCTCCTTTAGCCTGGGGCCCTCCAGCAGCGCAGTGCGCAACTCCTTGCTAATAATGCTTGTGCTTGCTGTGGATCCTTTAGGCCAACACACTAGAAAGCACCCAGCCAAGGAAGGCAGTTCAACGCTGCCTGAAATTTAAAGCATGCCTCACGCTTGCCTGTTCTGCGGGTAGTGAATCAATGTGGTTCTGGGAGTGATTGCATTTTATTGTATTCTTGTCCTGGATCAGGGATATTTAATGAATGCACATCATGTTCCCTCCAGTGTCAGGATGTCATGCAAAGTCCTTTTCTCTTACACCAGTCAGAAAAAGTTTTTGAGGTGGGGTAGAGTGAATGTCAATGGCAGCACATAGCACTACCCCAGCCGAACTATTTCCTGCTCCTCTCATTCATCTAGCACCTCTGCATGCCACCCCCAAATCTTCTCCAGCAGGTCCCCCATCCTTTTGGGGTAGACATCACAGCTCCAATGGGAGGGGAATCCACTCTGCTGCTGAACAGACAGAGCTGGGTACAACCGAGTGACTTTGGGTCAAACATGTTGGCCCCCACTCAGCAGGAAAAGCAGGATTCCCCCACCCCCCCATGCAACAGGATTAGCATGCCCATTTTGAAGTAAGGCATGTTACCCTCCAAAAAGGACACCCCTGTAAGACCATTAAAATTTACTAATGAAACCATGGAGTGACAGGCCCAAAGTAGTCTGGTAGATAACATGGCTTTAAACATGGGCTTCCCCATCTCCTAATCCTACCCCATAGTCAGCCGTGTGTGGGCGAGGTGTCGCGCATGGGCTACATACAGCCCCTGTTGTCCCCTGAAAGGTTACATAGAAACAAAGCGAGTCAGAAGTAGCCTCCTGGGCCATCTAGTCTGACCTGAAGCTCCAGCCGGCTCTGCTCGTGTAATCCCCAACATGTGGTTGTCCAATCTTTCCCCCTCACTGAAGGGGCCTCAACCTTGGAAGCCCATTCCTTATCCTAACCATCAGGAAGTATTTCCTGGCATCCAATCTGAAGCCTGATTCCTTGAGTTTTGCCCCATTGGAACATGTCCTGCCCTCCACTGCAGCTCATGGCCCTCCTCCATGTGACTTCCCCTCACATGCCTAAAAGTCGCTAGGTTGTGTCAAACCGCTGTGCTTCACAGGCGGCACCTCTTCCTTAGATGTGTTCATAGGCAAGTCACGGTCTCTTGCGCTCAGCTTCCCAATAAGAAAGGGGAATGAGTCAGTGGTGACCTAAGCACCTGCAGTTGGTCACACTCCAGGACAACACATGCAGCACCTGGATAAGCAAGGGAGTGCTTCTTACAACCCTGCAAGGGCCGCTCCCGCAATCCTTCAGGGATGGTTTGTGGAAGTCATGCATGGCCCTTGGTCCCTCCTGCACACCATCCCCTGCAAGGTGTGGCACTCAGTGGCTTCCCCATCTGCTAGAAATTTCTCCAGAAACTGTAGTCACAGAACTGCTGGTGGGAACATGTACGCAAAGTCAATCCCAGGGTCAGAGTGAGAGGATCTGGTTTCTTCCAGCTGGTGCTGCAACCCAGTACTGCTAGATGGTGCCCGGAGAAGCATAGAATGGATCTTGTATTATTTAATAATAATATTGGAAGAAATTGTCTTTTAATTCTAAGTGCCTGGTCCAGCCAATGTACCTCACTTTGGATCTGAGGATGTTTAGGAAGAAGCAAAACCACTTATGTCAGAGACGGTAAACAACATATTGAATACAGTGGTGAAATACAGATGCGGAATACAATCCAGTGTAAGACAGCTTATAGTCCCCTTCTCTGGGCCCTGTTGGCTCCCTGTATAGGTCAGGGGATCCGTGAACCCTCACAGGAGGCTGGGTAAGCATTGCATCAATCCCTCTCCCCAGGCTGAGAACAGAAGACAATGCCTCTTATCATGGGTTTTGTAAAGTCCTTCTTGCCCCATATTACAGCTGCTTCAGAAAGGTAAACAGCTTTATTTTCACTGCAAAGGGCAGCCCTTATCTGTGGGAAGATTGTGCAAGGCAGCTTTGAGGCAATTAGCGCTGATCCTCTTCTGAACAAGCCATGAGTCCTTGGCATGCCTTCAAGAAACCAATCTGGATTTTGGACACTGAGAAAGTTCGCTATACTATCTGTCAAACCATCATAACCTCCTCACTATTCTAGTGTGAACCATGTGGAAAGAAACTCGAACTTGAGACCAATAGCTCCACATATACTATTTCCTAAATTCTCCATAGCTCAGGGGTGGGTCAATTTTTTTGTTAATCAGGCAGAACTCAGACTCCATGTTCAAAGCCATACATTTATAGCCTTCCCACCACAAAGTTCATTTCATTGTTATTGGACACCTCACCCCAAAAGTGCAAACTAATCCCACCAAGTCCAGCTGCTTGGGCTGTGAAGTTGCATACTCCTGGGCTCCCTTAGATCAGCTCGGGAGGCCCTTCTACGAGAACCAGCCCTCAGGGAGATGAGAGGGGTGGCAACTAGGTGAAGGGCCTTTTCCACTGCTGCTCCCCATCTTTGGAAGATAGTGGAATTTCCCCATCTTTGGAAATTCACCTGGCACCATCTTTATTTTTCTCCAGTGCCAGGCAAAGACATACCTTTTCAGGATTTTTTTAACATTTAGCCTGAATGCTGTGGCCCTTCTTATATTGCTTTATAGATTTTTAATTCATTATATTTTAATTGGTTTTAATGTGTTTTACTTTGTTAATATGTTCTATGTATTGTAAGCCACCTAGGAAGGCCTTGGCAATTCTAGGAGGCCTATAAATCCATGTATAAGTATAAAAATAAATAAATAGATAAATAGACATGGCTAAACATGACAAATAGCTGCTTTTGTGATACTTACCTGCCTTCCTTGCATGAACTAAATGGGCTTATCCTACATTATCTAGGGCAGTGCTGCAGAACCTCAGGCCCAGGGGTCAAATCTGGCTCACCAGGAATCTTGCTCTGCCCCCCCACCCCATTCCCATGGATCTTCAGATGGCCACAGTCCACCTCTTCCCCCCACAACCACTAACTGTTGGGTGGTTTCTCAGTTTTTGTGCAGTCCCATTTATTTCAACTTACTTATTTTTTGATTTATATCCTGCCTTTTTCCTACAAAGGGCTCAAAGCAGCTTAAATCTCCTCCTCCATCTTATCCCCACAACAACAACCCTGTGAGGTAGGTTGGGCTGAAAGTCTGTGACTGGCCCAAAGTCACCCAGTTGGCTCCATGGCTGAGCGGGGACTAGAACCCAGATCCTCTGAGTCCCAGTCCCATGCTCTTAACCACTACACCACACTGGCTCTCCCATCCATTGCTTCCCTTTAAGTAGCCTCTCTTAAAACTTAGATCCTGGCAGAAGCAACTATATGCTAAAACACACTGATGTTAAGTTCTCCTGGGCATGTTCCTTTTGCCCCCAAGTGCCAGCTGCACCACATTGCATCTGATGCCTGAAAATGTGTGCGTATGTCGGTTGTCCATGTGATCAGGAACCTCAACTGCATGAGGTTCTCATGGGAGTAGAGCAGGGTTCCCCAAACTTTTTGGTGGGCACAACTGAAATTTCGAAGAACCCATGCTGGCCAGGACAATCAGAGTTGGCGGCCAACACATCTGGAAAGCACCAAGCTGTTCTAATACAAATTTCATTCAGTTTGCAAAAGAGCCACATGTGAGGAGCTGGTCCAATGGATTCATATCCTGGAGCAGGTAGTTTTGGTTACACAGTGCCCACAATGTCTTATAAACCATGTGCTAAATGATCTCACAATATGGAGAATCAACAAGAGTTTTTGATCAAGAAAAGAAAGTGAACCTAAAGAACTTTTGAGTGGGCTGGGGGTGGGGGGGCAGAGGGGACTGGATTGTGTGGGTAGCTGGCAGGAGTGCACATGATTAGCATTAGAAAGAGAAATGCCAGAAGAATGTGGATCATGGACTTGGAAGGGACCGTGGAGATCATCTCAAGCAGCAGTAGGCAGTCTTTTTGT